GTTGTAAGACTGTTGAACTTTTTGCAAGGTGAAGGTCTCCACTATTCTCAAAACTCTAGGTGCAGCCTGAGAAGAGAGCCTGCGGGAGCCTAAGTGGATATGTGTAAACTAAAGGGATGAATGAATGATTTCATAGAGGAATCAAAGAGTAAGCTGAGTGACAAGTGGGAGCAGAGGGACACAGAGGGTGTGAGAGTGGAGGTAATGAGAGCAAGTCCGAGAGAACAGATAATAACCTGGTCTGGGCTAGGCTCTCATGAGCACCACCTGGAGCTTAGGAGCCTGGCAGCCACATGCCCCTGCTGCCCCAAGGATAAGAAGATGAGAACGTCAGACTGGCGGGCCCAGGTAACTAGTAAGTGGGGGAGGGAGGAATTCAGGCCAGGAGAGGGGCTAAGTGCTCTGGGAGGAGGTCTTGGAGAGGCTAGTCTGGGACCTGGGTGAGTGGGCGGAAGCTGAGAGCATAGCCGTGTTCCTTGGATTCCCTTGGAAGGAGTACCTTCCAGGTACATGGACTGAACATTCATGCTCATACCTGGACGGACATGCAGGCACAGCAGAGACAGGTCAGCTGCCAGGCCAGATTTTCTTTCTCTGTCCCCCACAATGACCCTCCAATCTCTCCCATTTCCTCCCAGTACAGCACCCACTAACTGCACATCCCTCAATCCCAGAGGGAAGTCAGTCTCATCAGATCCAATTCTGGCAAGGCAGATGGGGTGAGCATGACATGCTTGAAGAGATGGGCCCAGCCTGGGGACCAGGGCACCAAGGGTCTATCTGACCTCTGCTCTGCTCATAGCCTGTATACCACAGGATCTCAGGGAGCATTTGTCAACAAATTATTTCACTGGAGGACTGTAACCACAGCAGCCAGGGCAGCCATTGCAGCCCAAGGATAAGCTGGGGAGGCCATTGGACAGAGGCAGAAATACCCAGATGACACAGAGACACAGAGTGAACACACAAGGACCCCTGGGGAGGCTGTTGCCTGCCTTCTAAAAGATTCCACATCTGTCAGACACAGGGGCTTCATTTCTATCCTTCAATGCTGCTGCCTCTGGATGGCTTTGCCTTAAAATACGCCACTGCTGATCCTATGCATGAAAAGCCAGTCCAGGGTCACCTTTGCCCTGAGACTATTACTTAACCCACTCCTGCCCCGCCACCCCTCCAGCCATCGACCCAGAGATTTTTCTGTCTTCAGAGAACACACTATCCTGCCACTTGTACTTGATAGCTACAGTTTCCAGCCAAATGTCGGTCAAATTCTTTACTATGCAACAATACTCGATTGATTTGTTTGTGGCAGTACTGGGGATTGAACTCAGGGCCTTGTGCTAGCTAGGTAGACACGCTACCACTTAAGCCACTATGCCAGCCCTCAGTTGATTTTTTGACTTAGGTGCCAAAGTAATTCATTTGGGTAAAAGATGATTTTTTCAACAAAAAGTGCTGATGCTACTGGTTATCCATTAAAAATAAAAAGAGCATCTCTTTCCTACACTATACACAAGCGTTAACTTGATACTGATCAATAACATAAGTGTAAAAGCTAAAACTATTAAAAATTTAAAAGAAAATCTTTGGAATTTCGGATAAAGAATGTCTTTGGAGACAAAAAACCATGAATCATAAATAAACCCAAAACTGATAAATTGAACTTTCTCAAAATAAAATTTCCTGTTCTTAGTTACTGAAGAAAATAAAAAAGGCAAGCTACACCTGCAAGAAAAAATTTACAACATATATATATCCTGACAAAGAACCGGCATCCAAAATATATAAAGAAAGCCACAATTTAAGCTAATAAGATAATCCACTGAAAACAGTGGCAAAAGATGCAGATTTTTCACAAAAGATATCTGAATAGTCTTACTGAGCGCATAAAAAGATGCTCAACTAGGGAAATAGCACAAGAATGGTTAACTTGAAAACTTAACTGACAATACCAAGTATTAGTGAGAATTTGGAGTATGCAAAAGTCTCATGCATTGTTAGTGTCACATACCAGCTGGCTGGGTGGCTGGGAACCTTCTGCTCTACCCAGATGGAAATCATGGGTATGTGCGAAGCTCCTCCAGTTATGCTGGGCTCATGGCGAGTGAGTGAGTCAGCGGCAGTGGACGGCAGTGGGGAGCAGCAGGCAGCCGTGGGCTTTGGCACCTAGGTAATGGCCTGGGGTTCTGGGCCTTGGGGTTTGAGCTGAGGACCAAAGTGTTAGAGCTTTTTTGCATCCCTGGCAGGGAGCTGCGGTGGGAGGGCGCCTCTTTCCTGCTGATCCAGATTGACTGCTGTCAGGTTCACTTTCATCACTGCCCTCAGATGTCAGTTTTACATTCCATGCTGTAGACAGCCCCTGTTTCTTTCACCTCGGGCAACTTCAGCTGCCCAGTTTTGCTCTTACTGTCCCAATGCTTCCGTTGTCTCTGTTGCAAGAGGTCTGGTTGACTGCTGCTGGCCAGCTGCTGCTGCTGCTGACAGCTCCTGCTACCATAGGAACCACTTGCTGGCTCCACTGCTACTCTGTGGCCAAGGGTAGCCCCAGCCACCCTTTCAGCCACTGCTGCTGGGCCACTCTGTTGTCGATTTTTCTCTTCACCTCCTGCCACTGCTACACAGGAGAGTATTTCCCATCTGCTCACAAAGTGAGTTTGAGCAGCCTGCTTATATAGCCAGAAAAGAACTGTGACAAGTGTATCTGTACCAATCATGGCAGGCTTATCATGGAAATGAAGGATTGTGTATGCACCAGTCATGGCATAATCCTTGTCATCTATGACAGGTCTTCTGCTGGGCCACCAGGGGAAGAAGCGCTCCCACTCTGGCCTCTGTGAAAGTGACTACCTGGTGGAAAAAGTCCTGTGCAAAGTTGCCTGCTGGGACAATGTCTTCTGGAACTGGAGTCCTGCTTTGGTTGTTGGCATGAAGGCTGTCCAGCTGCCTAGCTGACAGACCTTTGCTCAAGGCAGCAGGGGCCCGAGGGAAGGGCCTAGCAACTGTCATTTAGGGAGTTAAGTCTCCCCAGCCTCCAGCATCTTAGCAGAAAGGAAAAATTTTGTATGCACATATGAATAATAAAAGAAAAATGAAAAAAAAATAAAAATAAAAATAAAAAGGAAAAATAAACTTTCAGAAGGGTGCTTACAACAAAAGCTTATCAGTAACAATACTTTAACAGTGTTCTAAAATGTTTAACTCCCGTCCCAGTGCCCTAGGGAGAGGTGGATCTCTAACATCTGTTTTGTTAGCATGAATGTAAAGCACTACCTTGCAATCACTTATACAGCTAAAAGTACATTTATTATTTAGCCTGATGATTAATTTACCTGAGAAGTTAAAGACTTTAAATTTTATCTGTCCCTCCCTCCATATGTTGAAACCTAATCCCCATGTCAAAGTTGATGATACAATGATAAAATCATTCTTGTCTGATCCAGACAAATCCAGAGCTAGGAAGTTATGAAGTGCGAAGTACTCATGCCTGCCTGAGATGAAGTACTTTCTCGAGGACTTCTTCCCCTGAAGCACCGAGCGCTTTACGTTTTCCAAAATTTAGGTGGCTTTTGGTGCTAAAACTGTTTTATGTCTTAGCCTATTAATTGGAGTATCTATTTCAAATTGACTGGTTTTTCAGTCACCATGGAAACTAAACTCCATTTAACTTTGGTGAAAGTTTCTTGAAGCAGTTAGCTTTTCCTAATTTAGCATTTTTCTTCTTTTCTGGCTCCCAAGTATTTTCTAGACATTAACTCAAAAAGTTTGTCTAGATGTTCCTTATAACATTTGTTCTGCTGCATTTCCACAAGATTTTCACTGGCCTTTGCAGCCTCTCATTAATCTTGGTTAGTTTACATAATGATGTTTTAATTTTTTATTTTTCTCAATAGTTTCTTCAAGGACTTTCTAAAGGCCTGCTAAGGTTTGAATAAATGTCCTCCAAAGGCCATATGCTGAAGGCTTGGTCTCCAGGTCATGGTGTTATTGGGAGGTGGTGGACCTTTAAGATGTGGGGCCAAGTGGGTGAAAATGAAGTCATTGTAGGTACGCCTTTGAAGGAGGTGGTTGGACTCATGGCTCCTCCTCTCTCTTTTTTCCTTCCTGGCTGCCATTATGTGAGCTGCTCCTTCACCAGGTACTCCTGTCATGATGTACTGTGTCACCACAAGACCAAAGGCAATGGGTCCATGCCAACATAATCTGAAATCTCTGAAAGCCAGAGCCAAAATAAACCTTTCCTCTTAAGTTAACTTGTCTCAGGTATTTTGTCATAGTAAGACAAGCCAACTAACATGAGGCCTAAAAGAGATTTCTTTTCATTCTATGTACACTCCATGCTTTGCACTCTTACCATGTATGTACAGATTCCTGTAACTACAAATTGTCTTTAACATTCTTTAAGGCTGTAACTATTCAGACAAGATGTTCTGGACACTTGCATGGTCCCCAAGAGCAATGAACTTTGTTATCCAAGCTGCTTAGGGAAATTTCATCCTTTTTTCCTTTAAAAACATCTACTTGCCTGGCTTTGGAGACACCCATAGTTTACCATGACACAGCATTCCCATTGCAGTGCTCTGCCATTCCCAAATAAATATCATTATTCTCTGGAGATATCTGATTATCATTTGTCTTGATACTTAATATGATGGTATTTGGAGATGGGGCCTTTGGGTCATGAGGCCAGAGGCTTCATGAATGGGATTAGCGTCTCTAAAAGAGACCTATGAGACGCTCTCTCAGCCCTTCTTCCATGTGTAGTTAGAGCAAGAAGAGAACTGGCTATGAATCGGGGAGTGGGTCCTCCCTGATTCACCAAATCTGCCAATGCCGTAATCCTGGACTTGCCAGCCTTCAGAACTATAAGAAATTTTTATTATTTGTAATAAGCCACCCAGTCTAGATACTGTGTTTTAGCAGTACAAAGAGACTAAGACACAAAAGAAATGAAAACCTATGTTTCAGACACAACAACTTTGGCTCTGGTCACACCTTTGCAGCTAGACCTCTGTGGATTGGATGATCTCCAGGTTATTCCACTTGGGGCCTCCAGTCCGCTGGGGCAAGTTGAGTCTATGCAATTCCTCAGAGATCTCTAGGAAGGTCTTGCCTTTGGTCTCAGGGAGGTACAAGCCAGTGTAGATGGCCCCACAGACACAGACACAGAGGAAAGGAACATAGAGGAAGTGGGACAAGCCCTCCTGTGGGTTAAAAGAGACCCCAAGACCTGGTGTGGCCCCCAGAGCCCTCAATGGAAGGCCCATATCAAGTCAACGGTGAGGAGGGAGTTGTCTCCTTTGTTCACGTAAGACCCCTTCCCCTCAGTCTCCCTGGAGGGAGGCCTCCCTCTGGGGTACTCAGTGATGGGGAAAAAAACCTGAGGCAGGGTACCCCACTTTGGAGAGGGGTGATCCTACCATGATGAAGGGGAACCCTAGCCCGACCAGGAAGAGCATGGTCCACATGAGAGCACCACAGACAACGTAGGCGGCAGGCCTGGCCATCTGGTCAAACAGCTCCATGGCCAGAATTCCCGTCACTCCAGCTGCAAGTAGTGGTGATGGGGCACTCATCTAGAGTCCCCTGCTGCACATATCTCACACCTGGGCCCAGTGTGCTCCCAGTAAGCCCAGTTCAGCCACTGACTCCCAGAAGCCTCAGTACAGGTGGGCTCTGGGGTCTTTGGATGATCCTGCACGCACACCCACCCGTCATTCACCCAGATACCCATTGTTCCTGCAGCAAGGCCCAGAGCCCATAGCTTTTTGGGTCCACTCACCAGGGCCGATGCCAAAGCTGAGGATGAAGGCAAAGATGCAGGACATGGCCAGGTAGGGCATCCAGGGGAAGGAGCTCTGTAGCAGATGGGGTAAGGGTGAGGAGGAAATAGGCCTGGCCCAGCCACTTACTTCCCCTCACCCCCCTGGTACCTGCAGACACAGAGACACTGTGAAGATGCCTCCCCAGCAGATCATCAGGCAGTATCCCCCCATCAGCAGCACCCGCCATCCCACCCTCTCGATCACCACACACTGCAAGGGAAAGGAGCAATTCAAGAATTACTCACACACCAGGTTACTATCCCTTTGGTTTGGGGGCAGGCAATGAGGAGGGGCCTCACAAGGAAGCTAGGGGGAGTAGTTTATTGATTCAGGAGATTATGGTTTTATTAATTTCCCAACTTCATTTTATTTTCTCAACTTCATTTTGTTTTCTCATCTCAAAATGATGGTTTGAATGCCTAGAAAACAGTAGGGGCTCAATAAATGCTTGATGACTCATTGCATTTTTGACAGTGTGGGCAGCAGTGGAAAATGGTTTAATTTGGAAGACTGCAGTCCCAGGGGCACCAGTACCTGAGGATCCCTCCCAGCAGGGCAGGCTCAGATCCCAACTCACACTAACAAAGGCAGTGAGGAGCTCGCAGCAACCAGTCCCAATGATGGCATACTGGACCTTCTCGTAGGGCATTCCTGCCTCCAGGAACACGGAGGAGGCGTAGCATAGACCTAATATTGAGTCAGTGGAGGGGCAGCTCTGAGGCATTGGCTCCCTTCAACCTCCCATGGCTCCAAGCTACTTAAGCCCCTGGGCCCAGGGTGTAGGGTAGGGAAGGGACCTCACCGAATCATTCCCACAGAGTTCCATGGCACTGCTTAGCACCACGAGGCTTATCACCTGCCTCCGCAGGGCTGGATCCTGGAATAGCTCCCACGGGCGCCGTGCACGTTGGCCTTGGAAGGTGGCATGCTCCTTTTCCATCTCCTCCAGCTCTCCTGCCACATCTGCTGTGCCCCTCAACCGTTGCAGGGCTGAGATGGGGAAAGGGGTGCTGAGCTCCCCTCCCTCAGTCCCTCTTTGGTCCCTCACAGTGAGACCTCACCCTATCCTCAGACATCTCTCTCCCCCTCACAGTGAGCCCTCACCCCATCCTCAAATCTCAATCTCAATCTCTCTCTCTCTCAGCACGTAAGTGAAATACATAGGAAACTGAAATCATTTTTGAGAAAGTTGTATTGGCAAAAGCTCTATTAGCTTGGACTAAAAGATACTGAAACAATTTGAAATATAATGACTTCTGTGTCCCCAACTTTCTATAGGAAGGAAGCAGGTTGAGAAATTTGCTTAATCACCAAAAGCATTTTCCAATGCTCTCTTCAGAAGGTGTCAAGAAAGGTAGTGGAAAAGGGATAATATCTCAGAGGGGAGGTGCAAGAATCTTGGAAAACCATAACCTAGAAGCCCCTCCCAGAGGGCAGAGCCAGAGCCTGATCAAGGAACATTCTCTACTCCCAAGCAAGGGAGACCTGGCAATATGCTCCCAGGGACTCTTGAGAATTGCTGTTACGGATCAATGACTTGTCCTTACCTTGTCATTTTTAAAATCAGACTATTAATTCTGGTTCCCTTGTCTCACTTTCACCATTATATGCTAAGTACAAGAAAAGATGCTTTGTCTTTTTAGACCTTAAGACTCTGGATCAAGAAAAGGCATATATAGACTTAATGTGATCTTAAAAGCCAGGTCTTTAAGCTGATGACATGACTGGATGAGAATCTGGGGGAATCTTTGGATGGGACTGAACATCTGTTACATGGGGCAGAGCCATGCATAATTGTACCTATGATGGCAAATGGAGAAGAGGAATTCATGGGCCCTGGTCTTTGCTCTTCTCTAAATCTGTACCTCTTCCTTGGGAGAGGGAATGCCAGTGATTTAAGACATCCCCTGGATAAAAAATTTTGAAGAGATGTATAGATTGGCTTTTTATTTAACAGTGTGATTCCCTTTGGCTAGTGGAATAAAGGATGTGAAGGGGGCTAAAGGTTTAGAAAGTGTTTATGCAACTGGGTTTGCTTTCTTGTACCTCTGACACCACCACACTAAGAGCATTCCTAGACTAGCCCACTGGTACCATGAGTGAGAGGAAAGACGTGTACAGCTCAGGTCTCTACAGCCCAGACTAGCCTAGAAGGGCCACGAGCCACAATGCCATGAGCTGGCCCAGCTGAGATCAGCAGTGTGAAACTGGCTCCCTAAATGAGTAAAATATGTCGTAAATGATTATTACTTTAAGCCAGAGATTTTTCAATTGTTCTTGGGTATCCTTATTATAGCTATAGTTTACTGATAAAATAATCATCACCCAGTTGACAGTCAGGTAAGGCTTACACAGGTGCTTCACCTTGCATATACGTGTGGCTCTTTCTCTGCACCACCCTGGGTTTCCTGGATGGAAGGGATTGGATGTGACCTATCCCACTGTCCTACAATTTAAGATGTCCCTTGATAAACAGTTTTGAAGGGATGCTATGGCTTGATCATGAAGTTGAAGCACAAATAGAAGGATGACTTTTCCCTAATAAATAAACCCCAAGAAATGAGGACTGATATGGTCTAGTGAGATGCATCCCTGGATTAAGCGTGGTCTGGGGCCCAATGGCAGGGACTCACCTGTCAGGCAGGCACTGGTGTCTCCACGGTCAATGAGGAGGTACCGAGGACTCTCAGGAACCAGGGGCAGGAATGTGAGCTGGAGCACCCCAGGTACTAGGCAGCTGGCCAGCAGCAGGGGCCAGGCCTGTGGGTCACCCAGGAGCTCCCTGGGGAGTGAGAAGACAGGATAGGACAAATACTTCCTTCCACAGTCCTGCCCACCTTTCCCCTTGGCCCCCTGTCTATCTGCTAATCTGCTTGCAGAGGGTTGCATTGCCCTTTGCCTCTGTCTGTCCATCTCTGTATAAACATCAAGATCTCTTTCACCAAGGTAGGAACCAAGAGAGAGCAGGGTCCTTGCCCCAACTCAAACCTAGCAACTCCCCTCCCCAGGGATCCAGGTTCTGTCCTCTCCTCTATGTCCTGGGATGCCCGGACATGCTCCCCTTTAAAAACCCAAATCTTCACCTTCTCCCCTATCAAGACCCGTTCTCTGCAAAGTGTCCTGGAGAGAATGGGAAAAAGTGATTCCCACGTGTGTGATTGATCAATACCCTTTTTGTGTATTGGGAACATGGATGTGTTCAGAACTTCAATGCCTTCGTGCAAAGGAGCAATATCCTAATCTATCTGGTGGATGTGAGAGGAAGTTGGATGAGGAAAGGTTTTTGTTGGCATCTTTGAAGTCACTCAATGCACAGGGGAAAGAGGTGCTTACCTGAGTCCAACCACCTGCCCCATCACAATCCCCAGGGCTGTGAAGACGGCTGAGGTGACAGCCACTGCTCCCCGGAGCTCCTTGGGGCACTCTCCCCCAGATACGTGGGCTGGATGCTCATGCTTACACCTGGACACGTGCACAGCAGGGGCACATCAGTCACCAGGAGGGACCCTCACAACACTTGGTCACTCAGGGGCCTCCCTCATCACCACCCAGCCACTTATCTGCTGGATTCTTGCACTGAGGGGTGCTCTCTCACCCCACATACTCTGAGGAGCTCCACCATGTCTGGTGTAGAGCCAATAGTATCACAACTCAATTCCTCACGATTTCTGGGAGAAAAGAAAGTCTTTTCTAGATCAGCTTCCACCCTGGTCCCTCACCACAGCCCCACATTTTCATGGGATGTTTGTAGGTATTAAGGTCTCTGCAGTGGTTTAAATGTTTAATGTCCCCCAAAGGTCCATGTGCTAAGGCTTGGTCCCCAGGGTATTGCTGTTGTGTGGTGCTATGGACCTTTAGGAGGTATGGCCTTTTGGAGATTCTTCAGTCACTGGGGGTATGACCTTAAAGGGGATAATGGGACTCCAGTCTCTTCCTCTTCTCTTTGCTTCCTGGATCATGAAGAGAGAGTGGTCTGTTGTGATAGGTTGCCCTTGCCAGAAATCTAATGCAAAGGAACCACTTTATCTTGTACTGAAACATCCAGAACCAGGACCCCAAAATAACCCTTTTCTCTTTGTGAGTTTATTACCTCGAGTATTTAGTTACAGTGATGAAAAGATGAATAATATAGTCTCTGAGAAGCAGAGGTGGGAAAAGGAAAGGACTGCATCCTGGATGCCCACCAGTTGTCCAGGCTCTCATGTCAACACTTTCATTGACAACTACAGTGTAGGTTCTCACCTCACCCTGCCTTCCCAATGGATGCACCTGGTACCTACACAGCCAGTGGGAAAACACAGAACTTGGACAGCACTTTCACCACCCACCCCAGATGGTGACAACAGCAAAAGCCAGGAGACCACAGTATGGGGCATGATAAGCCTGGGAATGGTGCAGGCAGTGCAGCAGCACCACCTCCCTCCCAGGCCTGGGATGGAGAAACATCTCCCATCAATGTCTGGCTCTCTCTTTACACGCTGGGAAGAGAATTGAGAGGAAGGCAACTGTGTGGCTGGCCAAGGAGTCTGAGGGGTCCCCCTGCTCTTCCTTCCTTCTTGCTTGGGTACTCAGGGCACCACAATGTCTGACCTGGTTCCTTTCCCCTGCAGAGTTGGTTGTTTTGAGTGACTCACTTCTAATTAACAGAATGTGGAAAAATTGGTGGTGTGGAACTTCTAGAATTGAGACAAAAAAGGCACTAGAACTTTCTCCTTGTTCTCTCTCTCTCCCTTCCTCCCGACCACTTACTCTAGAGAAGCATCTGCCATGTTATAGGGACACTCAAGCAGCACCATGATGCCGAGGCAGCATGTGAGGGAGCCATCTTGGAAGAGATCCTCCAGCCCCTGCCAAAGCTTTAGATGATGGCAGCCCTGCCGGGCAGCTTTATCACACCCTCCTGAGAGACCTCAAGCCTGAGCTACCCAGTTAAGACATTCCCAGGTTCCTAATCAACAGAAACTGTGGAATTATAAATGTCAGTTTTTTAAAGTCACTAAACACGGGAGTAATTTGTGTCACAGGAACGGATAATTAAAATAGACATTAGCACCTAACTGTATAAACAATAGGGGAGTCAAGACATGTTTGTTGATTGGAGCCCCTAAATACCCAGGTGGATGTACTCAAAATTCTGCTCCCTCACATGAAGATACCCAGAAACTGAGGAGTTTCTGCCTCTGCAGGGAAGATCAAAGAATTCATCCTATATTCCTTATAACTTGGCTGCCAGGAAGCTCATGCTTAGAGTGTTACTCAAACACAGGACTTAGTATAAGTTTGGGGGATTTCCCCCCATTGCTGTACAACTTTTTTTCATTTATATTTACTGCCAATGTCTAGTTATTTCAATCTTTTAAAATACGCCATATTTAATCATTTTGTAAAACAGGTGGGCATAAATGAATAGTCAATGAATAAAAGGAATACAGGAAGGAAAGAAAAGGAACTGAGGAATGAATAGGAACAGAGAGGCATGAGGAGGTACCTGCATTGACTCCTATGAGCAGTCTTCCTAGCATGATCATCTCAAAGGAGCCTGCTTTGCGACTAAAGCCAAACAGGATCGCCGCAGCCACCACAAAGATGTTATTCACCAGGAGGGACTTCTTCCTTGGGAGAAATGGAACACGGGCAAGAGAGGCTCTGCTGCAGTCCAGAGAGACCATGTCCTCTTTGCAACTCCAACAAGCCCCGATCAGACTCAGAAACATGTGTGTGCATGAATTGTTTCAAGGAAAACAAACCAAGTGAATTGAAAACCCTAAGTTCACTTGTTGTATGTCTTGGGGTGCATACTCCCACTGTCCTCTCCTAATATGCCCCCAAATTATTCTCCTTTCTGCCTCACAGCAGCTTAAAATGACAATTTTTTTTTGTTTTGCTTTTCCTCTTTAGATGAAGCATTGCTCTTCCTGAACTCCTTTTTAAAGTGGATGAATGAATATGTAATTTCTCAGACTAAATAAAACCCTCATGAGGAAGAACAGGGAAGGGATGCGTGGGAAGCCAAGTACAGTTCTCTCATCATATATAAAGTCACTTCAGGGGGATCAAGACTCCAAAGCAAGGAAGGGAACATGAGAAATGTCATCTGCTCCAACATGATGAAACCCCACTTTTGGGCTCCTGATGTGGAGCTCAGAAGTGCTATTAAACAGGTTGCCCAGGAGCGTTTACTGTATTGGTGGGAAAACTGAAGACCAGAGAAGGACAGTGTTCTGCCCAGAGATAAGAGCACATCAGCAATAGGATATGAACCAAAGCTTAGGTCTCCTGAGACTACAGTATGGAAAATGACAAAAGATTACAAACTAGTGGTAACTAGTAATTGCAATTGTAATAATATATGGTTTTCTCACTGGAAACAATAAATTCCATTAATAATAATTATTAACAATACAGTACTTTGCTCTTGCCAATGCATTTTGCTCCATTTCAATACAAAGACATCCTTGTCACCTGGCAAGGATGGTAATACACCTTATCCAATCTGCCTTAAGGATACAGCAGCTCTCTAGCTGACGGCCACAATCTATTCCACAGGGATCTATGGATTCCATGGGACATCCTGGTGGTCCACTACTATGATGAGTTCATACTGAGAGGACCTGGAGGAGAACAGCAGCGAGGACACTAGATGTCTTGATAAGGTACAGGTATGACATAGAGCAGGAAGACTAAAAATGAGGATCTGCCACGTCAATGACGTTCCTGAGGCCCGTGGACTAAGATGCCGGCATACTTCCTCCAAAGTGCCTGATGAACTGCTGCACCCGAGAAGGAGGGGCAAATCTCAGAGAGCTCTTTCCATTTTGCAGGCAGCACTTCTACGATTTGAGTATGGTCTGTCACTTAAGAGTCCATGTGTTGGGAGCTTGGTCCCCTGTGTGGCAATGTTAAGAAGGTGGTGGGACCCATAAGAAGTGAGGCCTAATGGGAGGTCGTTATTGTCCCCTCCCCTCGCTCTGGCTTCCCATCTTTCCGTATGTCTTCCCCTCTTGCCTGTGCTCCCATCACTGGGATGCCATCGGCCGTGAGGTCCTCACCAGAGCAAAACCAACACCAGTGTCATGTCCTTAAACCTTCAGAACCACACTAAATGAACCTCTTTTCCTTAAAAAGTCCCCAGCCTCAGGTACCTTCTTATAGCAACAGAAAAGTTGACTAATATAAGCACATATCATATTAGATATTGTGACTTGACACATTAGGTGACTTGAAAACCTGGCAACTCTGAGTGGAGGTAAGCAGGAGGAATATTCACTAGTGGGTCTAAACCAAGTTCAGCAAGCTCTATAAGGGCTGGCAGAATGGCTCAAGTGGTAGAGTGCCTGCCTACCAAGTGTCCTCGAGGCCCTGAATTCAAGCCCCAGTACCACTAAAAAAAGAGCTCTGTCACTTTACTTGACACTGTAAGTAAAGTGGGAGCATTTATTGAGATGAAGAAGTGCAAAATGGAAGAGTAGAGTCCCTAGAGTTGGGGCCAGGGTCCCAAAAGTAGCTGCCCCTCCACTCGACTCTTTAGACCTAGGAGATTGTTATGGTTGGGGTATGAAATGTACCCCACAGGCTCATATGTTCAACACTTGGTACCCGGCTAGAGGCTCTATTTTGGGAGATTCTGGAGGCTGAGGCCTACCTGGAGAAAGTAGGTCACTGGAGATATGCCCTTGGGGGCTGTACCTTGTCCCATCCACCCCCCTGTCCACCATGGTGTGAACTGCTCTGTTCTACTACACCCTCCTTGCCATAATGGATGGAACCTCTGAAACCATGAGCCCAAATAAGATCCTTACTGCCTTAAGTTGTTCGTGTCAGGTATTTTGTCACAGTGATGAGAAAAGTAACTAATACAGACATCCTATGGTGCTCCAAGTGTCTGTAACTGAATACCCTAAAAGGAGAATCCCAATACCTGACCTAGAGTTTTGGAATAAAGTCAGTCTACTTTAGTGAACTACTATCCTCTCAATGAGAAAAAGCTCGGTTGGTTCATAAACAAAGAAACCAGAGTGGCAAGGATGGAGAATCACATGGGCTCAAGGATAGGGCTTTCTACCACCCTGCCACCCCACCCAACTGTTAGTCAGCTTTCCATTACTGTGATGAAAATGCCTAAAATAGTCAACTTTAAAGGAAAAAAGTTTTATTTGGCTCACAGATTCAGGTCACTTGGCCTTGTTACTTTGGGCTCCCATCATGGTGGGAGTGTGTAGTGAATGAGGCCTGTTCACCTCATGGCAGCAAAGATGCAAAGAAAGAGACAGGAAGGGGCTGGAGTCCCAATATCTCCTTTAAAGGCATGCCCCCAAAGGTCTTAACTTCCTTCTAGTAAGGCCCTACCTATGAAAGGTCCCATTACTTCCCAACAGCACCACAGCTTGGTAACCAACACAGAGACCTTTGGAGGACACTTATCCAGACCATAGCAAATACCAACCCTGAGCACACAATAAAGCCGCACATCTCAAGGCTTCAGTCAGCTTCTGGGTGGAAGTGCTGCGCTAGGTCCCTGCCACTGGGCATGGGACAGGAGTTGAATGGAGTTCAACTAGGCATATGTGCCAAATTTGAATTTTCTATCCCTTCAAGCTTATACCAGTACTGTTATCTAGGGATATCATACCAGGTGTCACTAGATGCTCAGGTAACAGCTATTACTGCCTTCTTCTTTGTAGGAAGAGCCCTACTTTTGTTTGGACAGTGCCCCTATCGCCACATGGTTCAGTTGTGAAGCCAATAGCATGAAACAGTCTCTAAGTGAGTGCTATAGTTTGAATGTTTGTGTCCCCTACAAAATTGATGCTGAAACTTAATTGCCAGTGTACCAGTATTAAAACGTGGGGCCTTCAGAAAGTGAGTAGGCAATGAGGGCTCTGCCATCACTGATTAATGGGATTAATGATTTTAAAAGGCTACAGGGAACTAGATTGGCCCTTTATGCTGTGTGGGTGTGGGTGTTGGGAGATTAAATCTAGGGCATTTGCATGGTACTCATGTGCTCTACCTCTGAGCTGTACTCCTAACTCTTTTTTGCCTTTTGCTGCTCAATCTTTCTGCCATATGAGGATACAGACACCGGGGGCCATCATGGGAGCAAAAAACTGCTCTCACCAGACACTGAATCTGTTAATGCCTCTTGATCCTGGACTTCTCAGTCTTTAGACTTAAGAAAAATTATGCTCTTTATAAATTACACAGTCTCGGGTATTTTTGTTGTAGCAGCAAGATGGCTAATAACCTGACGCTGGACAACAAAACATGGTACTTTTTTTGAAAGTTTCTTTTTCTTCTAAGTATCACCCAGGAAGAAATAAATTCCCCTTCTATTGTTGCATCTGAGTGGGGCACTGCTGATAGCTTTTCAACTATAAACCTGAGACTAAAGCTGTTCGATAGTTTTTATTGCTATGACAAAATACCTGAGAAAAACATCTTAAAGGGAGAAATTCTTATTTTGGCTCACAGTTTCAGAGGTTTCAGTCCATGGTTGGCTGGCTCCATTGCTTTTGGGCCCAAAGTGAGGCAGAACATTATGGCAGAAGGCTATGGCAGAGGAAAGTTACTCAGAGTGGCCAAGAACAGAGAGAGAGCTGAAAGGGTCAGGGACAAGATATACTTTTCAAAGGCACACCTCTAGTGACCTATTTCCTGTAACAAGACCTCACCTCCTAATAGTCCACTCAGCGGTGAACTCATCAATGGATTACTATATTAATGAGGTTAGCATCCTCATGGTCTAATCACCTGTCAATAGTGTCACCAGTTGGGGACCAAACCTTCAACACCTCAGTCTTTGGGAAGGACATTTCATATCCAAACCACAACAAAAGCTGGCACAGAATAGAGACTGTAGCTGTGGAAATTTCAGAGCACCAGAGCTGGAGCACTGAACAGCCCTGAAGTCAGCCACCTATAGACTTCTTGTTGTGGGAGATAAAAGATCTCCTATTATTTTATCTGATTGGGTTGTGGTTTTCTATTTCTTGCAGTTGAAGATGCCCTAACAGATATCTGTTAAATAGAAAGACATGATACCTAAGCATTTTTTGATCCAATCAAGGAAGTTATGTCTATGAAGGAAGAAGGGCTGGTATCAATGGATCTCATTATTGTGCCATGAACCCATCATCCAGAAGCAGATGACCTTAAAATATAACAACCCCTGAAGATCGTACACAATCAGGACCACCAAGCCCATTCAAGAATGAGTATTTGGGTCACCATAATGGGCAAAGAAATTCAACCAGTTGGATGTGGTGGTGCACATGTGTAATCCCAGCACTTAGGAGACTGAGGCAGGAAGATCAAGAGATTGAGGACAGCCTTTTCTTTTTGTGAAAGAGAGAGAGAGAGAAAGACAAAGACAGAGAGGAAGACAAAGAGAGGGAGAGAGAGAGAGAGAAGAAAACTGGAGGATAAAGGTCACATAACAAGCAAGCAAAAATAAGCATATGATGCAGGCTTTCTGCATCATATGCTTTAAAAGAAATTCTACCACCCTGTCCCTTTTCATAATTTTACTCTTCTTTCTTTCCTCTTCCTATCTTATTGATACCCATATCCACAGTTTCAAAGGTCAATGATGGTACAAAAATATTAAATGGTGCCAGGTCTGGTGGCTCATGCCTGTAATCCCAGCTACTCAGGAGGTGGAGATTGTATTCGCTCCATGAATAGAACTGTTAGGGTACAAGGCCGGCCACCTCCTGAGAGGACAAAGGACACTCGAGACAAAGGAAGTCACAAGGCGAGGTTTATTTCTAGCCGGTTAGGGTCCGAGCATCCGCCTGACGCAGCAGGTTTCAACAAGGACCCTGAGAGAAAAGTTTAAGCAGATCTTATACTCTTTAAAGCATTAATCATCCTCACATAGGAATTTCTCATGCCCCTGGGGTCACATTTTCCTGATCTTGCCCACATCCTGGTGGTGGGGTAATATTATTTATTGGGAACTGGGGAAACAACAGAGGCTTACTTATCAGGTTACAAGGAATGTGTTCTCCCATAAATTAGGGGCTAGTAGTGGAATAGAAACCTTAGGATTAGATAAGAACAGCAGGGGAGTCCTGTTTTGGAAAGTTTATTTACAAGTGGAGACAAAGAAAGGCAGGAATGGGTGCTTATCTCTGCATGGTGTCTTTCATCTCGGTCCTGAACTTTTGCATGGCTCTAATGGGCAATTCCTCACAGCTCTGTCAGAGGTTACAGCTTTTAATTGACAGTTTACCATGTTTTACAACCCTGTTTCAAGGCTATCTTCCTCTTCACGAGGTTACTCAAGGGTCATGCCAGTTATAGCTGATTTCTCGGCTAGGTGGGATGCCAGTTAAAGTCCCCAACAGAACATGAACACATGTTCTAGAAACTAGCAAAGGGTAGAGTGTGGTAGCCATTTGTTTTTTCTACTGGAACTGCTTCTCTCCCAGTCCTCCACAGATTTAATCTTGTGACCCAAAATGTATCAATAACAGCCTATCCTCCTGGATTCTGGACCTTGAAGGAAGATGTTGGAGACAAAATGTGGCTAAAGGTGAGTATGCTGAAGTCATCTTCCCTAGAAATAAGAGTCCAAGGCTCTGCCTATTGAAACCTTGGCCCTACCCTGGTTCACGTCCTTCTCAAGACCTGGCTTTAAGCACTTCTTCCATTCTAGGAGTCACCTCAATATACTTCCAGTCATTATAATTTTTATTGTTCCAGCACCAGTTTCTTCTGTTTTGCAACCAAAGAATTGTATGAGATCCATAGAAGGAAAGTGAGGCCAGATTTGAGTCTGGGGATGTAGCTCAGTGATAGAGTGCTTGTCTAGCATGCCCAATGCCCTGGGCTGTATCTCCAACAACACAAGAACACTAAAAGACAAAACAACAAAAGGCCAACCGTTCAAGCACTCTAGGTAAAGCCAGGGGCTGGGAGAGTAGCTGAAGTGGTAGAGCATTTATTTGCCTAGCAAGCCTGAGGCCCATACCAGTATCACCACCACCACCACCAAAAAAGGGAAAGTTTGCCGGCCTGGGCTACTTAGCGAGTTCAAGCATACATTGGGAGACCAGTTCAGAAAAACAAATATGAGAGAGACTGGGAGAGAGGGAGGGGGGAAAGGAAGAGAGAGATTACCATATTGAAGTTGCTGAACTTTGAAATGATAGCAAAGCGTTCAAAACCATTTTAAACCCCTGCGCGATGGGAAGGCTCCTACCGATGAGTATGTATGGGAAGAAGGGTGTTTAGACCTTTATATCAATAACGATTTAGGAGCTGGTGGGTTCAAAGCCTGAAAGTCTGAGAAGGAAACACTGCCCTGGGGCTGGAGCTGGGTGCCTGGGGCCCGGATCTGCCATCGCGTCCTGATGGGGGTAGGGTCACTCCTAACCGGCTAGGAGGTAGGACTTCCGGAGACTTGGAGCCAGCCCACGTGACTGACAGGGGGTGTAGCCCTGGCAGCCAATCGGGAGTTGCCGATTCAGCCGAGCCAATGAGGAGCCTGGCTGCTGTGACGCCCCGCCCCTGAGCCCGTTCTGCCACCCTGGAGATCCCGAATCCAACTCGGCCCCAGTTCTCCGCTGCCTCTGCTCTTCCGTTCATCATGCCATTCATTGAGCTGGACACTAATTTGCCTGGCAACCGTGTGCCCGAGGGACTAGAGAAGCGACTCTGCTCGGCCACCGCCGCCATCCTGAACAAACCTGAGGAGGTGAGTGAGGATCGGGTGCCCTGGGCGCTGAGAGGTTGGGGGGCTGGGAGTTGGGCTCTGTCCACTCTCTGCCTCCCCACAATCACCCGGACTCTTCTCCCTAGGGACCCGCTGGTCTGCTAACCTCTGACCTTCTGTGCCCCATGAACCCATGGCCCTCTCTCCCCACGAGTGCCCTTCGTCGCTTTTCCCACCATGACCCCGATGTGACCTCCAAGCACCTTGGCGGGTGCCCTGAGCCATGACCCCTCGGGCCACGCGCGTGCGGTCTCTCACACGTCCCGGTGCTCAACGCCAATACTGCGGGCGCCAGCTTCAGGCGAAACTTTTGTGTCCATCGCAGCGCATAAATATTACCGTGAGGCCTGGCCTGACCATGACCCTGGGCGGATCCACGGAACCTTGTGCCCAGCTGGTTGTCTCCTCCATCGGCGTGGTGGGGACCGCTGAGGAGAACCGTGGCCACAGTGCCCGCTTCTTCGAGTTCCTCACTAAGGAGCTGGCCCTAGGCCAGGACCGGTATGTAATAAGAGGACCTATTTGGGACTGCTGGTGCAACCAGAGGCAGTGATTCTGCCTCAGGGCATCTGAAGTTGGGGGGCGGGGGGAATAAACCCTCTGCACTGTCCAGGAAGGGCACATGGGGGCCTTAGTGCAGGAAGGCCCACACACTCCTTTGCCACGCTGATGGTGGGTCTGCGGTCAGAATGGCTGTAAGATTGTTGAATTCCTGGCTCTACAGCCAACTGTCTGAGACCTGGTCAAGGCATGGTTTCTGGGACTTCAGTGTTTCCATCAGCACACTGGGAAGAGCCTTTTTTTTTTAAAGCATCCTTTAAGGCCATTGCAGGAGTCTTAGGGATGGCCTGTGCACCACATCTGCACCTTCAGAGTTTTATTACCCTGAAGAATCCAGAGAATCTTATTTTCAAGGAGAACTTTTCCAGTCTGGGTAGGATATCTGGCTATGTTGTGAAACTGAAACCTTTGGACTAGGTGAGACTGGGGGAGGGGATCACAGGGTAGTGAATGGAGCATTGGCCTGGATTCTGGGCGTCTAGCTAAGAGACCCCAAATAATCTCAAAGTGAAACACCTCCGATTTGCAGCCTCATCTGTGAATGGGGGCTGTTTCAGGCTAAATGACCTCTCTCACCCACAAGATAGCTTTACCTCCTTCTCCCCTCCTCAAAACCTGGCATCCTGTGGCAGGGTTAAAGCTTCGTCCTGGAGGAAAGATAGTCTCAAACCTAGTCTATGCCCATGAAAGAAAAAAGCAGGAGAAGAGCAAAGGAACCTTCCAGAATGGAGTCCTGATTGGCCCAGGAAGGCTGTTGAGGAGTGGCTGCTCCTGGTGGGTGTTCAGATCCTCAAACTGGGAAGAGATAATAATTCTAACAATAAATTATATACCAATGCTTACCATGAGCAACACACTCAACAACCATAATAACATTTGATCCAAAACTGCATCCCTGGTCCCCTTGGTGTAGATTTGCCATTTCCATGAGGTAGAGATGTCTGCATTACATGAACCTTGCAGATGATAAAACTTGAGACCATGATCCCTGCCAGTCCTGCAGCCCCTGCCAAACTATCCCAGTCCCTGGTGCTCTTTATCAGGAACTTCTCATCTCTGGAAGAGGAGCCTTTATTCTTTCACAGACTTTAGTCATGGTCAGCCTATGCCTAGTCTTAAACCAGACTTTGAGAAAATTTAAGTGACTGGTGCCCGCAGTTAGGAGGGAAGGACTGTCCCTCTGAGCCCACAACTGACAGAAGCTATTGAGTATACAGCATACGCAGTCAGTCCTGGATGTCTGTCCTGGATGGCCGTGCCCATGTGCATCTGTCACCTTGCACCTGATCATTTCTCTGTCTGGGTCAATGGAAAATCATTAATGCCTTATGGGCCAACGTGGGCTGGCCTGAGAGCCCACAGTGGGAGTGCCTAGCAGGGGCCTTGCATCACGAGGAGATAGCCAAGTTACTGACATCTTTTTCTCTGTTTCTTAAAGGATAGTTATCCGCTTTTACCCATTGGAGCCCTGGCAGATTGGAAAGAAAGGGACGGTCATGACATTTTTGTGATTGGCACAGAGTATCATGGGCATCTGTGAGCTGACTCTCCATTCCAGAGATGCCTCCTGGCAGAGTGAAGGCCTGATGAAAATCACATTTGGGTATCCCTTTTGCAGATATGTCTGTGATTCACCTAACATTTTTTTCCTCTTCTCTAACTTCAATGCTAAATAAATAAAGAGAACCTCATTATGCAAACATAACTTATTTACCTCTAAACTCTCTCTCCAGCAGCCTGGAACATATGGGCAGTTGGCTTGGTTTATGAAGAATATTGAACTGGGATGTTTCCTGTTGTCACATTTGCTGCTCCATATGTTTATAGCAATGAAATCAGGTGAAAGGCTCAGCCTGGAGGGTTGCAACACAATGGGAATGTGTGGGAGCACCTGGTCTGCCCTGGAACTTCCTGCATACTCTGGTGATGGCCTGAGATTTCTAATCTCAACTTAGTGTGGCCTAGACCGTCACTTTCTGTTGATTGCTATGCTGGCCTGGCACACAGGGCTGCTTGCATTTCAGGGATCTTCCCTGGACTCACTTTGCATGCTGACTCTTGTTGACAAATGACTGGAGCAGGGAGCTGTGCATTATGCAAAATGCATGCCAATCATGGGAAAGTAAAGTCTGCCAGCAAGCCAAGCATGGAAATGCAATGTCATTATAAACAATGAATGTTGTCCCTGTTCTCCAACTGAAATAACATACTATGCGTTTGCATTTCCGAGTATTTCCAGGTAGGGTAGGGAGATCCCAAAGGAAGTCTCCATCTAGGTAATTTTCCAGATGTTTGCGCACAGTTAAACTCAGCTCATGACCCTTAGACACTGGTGAAAGGTGTCTCCCTGCCAGTTAGATATCTGATGATCCGTGTCTTTAGTGTACTAGTGAAATGTCAAATTGAGATTTTTGTTCTATTAGTCTACATAGTTAATAAAGTTAGTTTCCAAATAAATATGCCTGTCTTTTGTGTTTGTGCCTGAGCACTGCTTAGGCCTCCTATTAAAAGTTGGCCTTGGTGCTTAGGGTGTTGCTCAAGTGGTACAGTGTTGCCCTAGCAAGTGCAAAGCCCTGAATTCAGTAATGAAATAAAATTTGATCCAGGTGCCAGAGGCTCTAAGACTCATACCTGTAATCCTAGCCACTCAGGAGAATCACAATAAAATGCCAGCCCCGGCAAAAAGTTCTCAAGACCCCACCTCAACCAACAGCTAGCTATGCTGGCACATACCTGTCATCCCAGTATAAATAGAAGGATCTCTGTCCAGGCTGACCAGGGCAAAAAGTGAGACCCTATCTCCAAAATAACCAGAGCAAAAAGGGCTGGAAGTGTGGCTCGAGGTAGAGCACTAGTAAGTGTGAATTCCCTGTACCGCCACAAATAAATAAATGAAATGAAAGGTTGGCCTTGTAGTTTCTTTCTGTGGCTTGCTGTCCAAATTGTTTCTGTACTTATTCCTTCTGCCAAGGTGTTCCACAGGTTAGAGCTCTGAGGTATGGCCAAAAGGGACTAACTCCTCCAACCCCCTGATATGAAATGAATCAAAGGAGCAAAACTAAAAGCCCAGGGAGTTTCTGACACTTGGGTAAACCTGGCTAGGGGTGCCAGGGAATTAAGATCCTCAGAATCACCCTCTCCCCCAGAACCAAGTTTTGATTTTGCTGGACCCTGGCTCCCCCAGGGTGGGCACAGGGAAGGGGGACCTCTGATGAAGTAAGCATTTATGATCTGCATAGCACCACGTATCCTGTAAGTCCTGGGAGGAAATGCTGTTTCTCCAAGGAGTTGAAGGAATACCCATGGGTGCAGAGCAATCATCAACACCAGTCTGATGAGGATCCAGTCCCTGAGGGTTAAGCCCACGTGGAGGTCACATCACAGAGAGAGAGGGTGACAGTGACCCATACGAATAGGTAGCAAGTAAGGTGGTGATTGCTGTGAAGAAGACAACTTTTGTTCAGAGACGACTTTGAGTAGGACACAGAGGGTAGGTCCCCTGAGAAGCTGACTTGTAAGTAGGGACCTGTAGGACTGAAGTACTAGGGATTAGAGAAGCATATTCTGGGTGGAAAGCCATGAGATGAGGCCATGCTTTAGGGGGATGGTCTGACTAGGCTGAGCAAGAAGAAAAGTGGGAGGGGAGCACATGACACAAGAATGACTTTGGATTTTCCTGTGCATGGATAGGGATTTTGAGTAAAGGAGAGTTGTGAAGCACTTGTGTTTTAATGAATCCCATTGGCTGAGGTAAGGAGGCTACTGTGATAATCCAGTTAAAGGTGCCTGGACCCTGACAAGCTGGTGGGGGTTGTGCAGGGTGGGGATGATAGGTTCTGAGTGCTATTGAATATAGAACTACAGGGATTGCAGTTGGCCATGGGGGAGGGGAGAAACGGTAGCCAAGATAGACCTCCAGGTTGGTGGCTGAATGGAGGTGCTATCCTTTACAGAGTACCTCTGTGTTAAAGCTACTCAGACCACTGTGGTTGTAGAGCTTATGCTCTATGCATAGCTAACACCCAGGCAGACATGAGGAACTCTGCAGTCAGCCTGCACAGACCAGATGTGATGGGAGATAGGAGATCAGAGATGGATTCCTCCAGGGGGCTGGTGGGTGTACTGAAAACTTTGAGCAGGTGGAAAGGAGATAGGTGGGACCTCAGAATACCAAATCCTAGAATTCCAGAGAATGCCAAATTTTGTGTCACAGAGGAAAAACCAAGGCACAGAGCCCAGCACAGTTACCCCCAATGTGCCTTGATTCCTGAACTTCCAGAAATTAGTTCTATAACCTTTTGCACACTTTAGCCTGCCTGGAAAAACTGGCTTTGGGGGAAAAAATAGAAATCACAATTTGCTACACATACTATACTTGGATATAGCAGTATTAAGTGAAAAAAGAGTCAAATTATGAAGACAAAAGGAGACATTTCAATAAATGCTTGACTTCTGTGTATGGAAGGACATTTCCAAGCCTTAGCATTGTGACAGAGCGAAACAAAAGGCTAACAGATTTTACATATGCAATGAAATTGCTTACACATTCAATGAAATACAAAGAAACTTTAAGGGAAAAAGTAGGAATAACACTGTTAAAGATATGATATAACTAATTTTTTTATGGAACGCTTCACGAATTTACGTGCCATCCTTGCACAGGGACCACTTTAATCTTCTCTGTATCGTTCCAAGTTTAGTATATGTGCTGCTGAAGCAAGCACAATATATATAACTAATATTTTTAAGGTAATCTTAGAAAAGCATCAAATATATGGGAGAAACATGGGCCACAGAACCCACCAAGGAAGGGTTGAATTGAAGAGGGAAATGGCTAATAGATGAATGAAAACATGTTTAACTTTAGTAATCAATGCAAGATGCACATGTCACTTTTACATATCAAATGTGTGTGTTTTTGAAATGCATACCCTGAATTAATATTTGCAGAGCACTTCCATAATTTCTGGCACATAGTGGGGGCCTGGTGTTAATGACGGAGCATAACTCCCTGGCTGCAGGTAGGGTATCACATTTTTGGAGGGACATTTGACTGTAAGTTTCTTCACTGCCCTAAAACTAAACTACAAGTCGTTGAACTTGGCAGTGAAGACCTTGCTTCACTCTTAGCTACACCTTTCTGGCTGCATTCACTTCAGACCCCTCTCCTGCTTCTACCTTGGCCTTTTAGCTTTGCCTCATGCTGCTCTCACATTGCTTTCTTTGCCTGGTGCCTGTCTGGGTCTTTTGGCATTTAACATGTTGCTATCCCAGGGAGACTTTCCTGACCTCTCCAATCCCAAGCCAGGTCAGGTGACCTCTCTGGTCTCCTTAGCTCTATAGTTTCTCTCCCTCAGATCTAACACAGAGCAGGCTCCTTGTCTCCTGGACTGAACACAGTCACAAATGAGGTTGACTGGGTAAAGAGATGTCTGATCAGGAATGTCCTCTGAACCTAGGTCTTTTTCTTCTCTCTGAGATGACGTCTTCCACAGGTGGGATACAAGTGGAAGTTCATGAACTTTCTCAAAGGAAGGGAAGTCCCTAGTTATTTCTTGCCTGTCTTGGTGCTGAGCAGCCTTGATCTTTCATGCCTGCTCCTAATCCTGACTGTTCTCTTTTCTGTGTCTCAGACTTACCACCTATCCCTGCCATTTCCTCTCAGGACTGTCACAAACTATCTGTCAGGTCCCAAATTATGTGATAGCTACATGTACTAAATAAACTGTTAACAGGACAGAGTCTCTTGGTCTCCCTGATTTCCCACAGAGGCTCCTTTATTACGCACACTCATACAGAAATTTATATTTGTAATTGAAAGTGTCCATATACAAACACACACATAACTGAATTGAAATGACTTTGCAACACTGATGAGACTCATGTTAAATCAACTCCTAATCTTGACTTCGATGACACCCTGTGCCACCTTCTGGCAAAGAGTAGGAAAGCAGATGTCTGCGGAGGGGTTGGGGGAGGGAGAGAGCCAGAGATGGTATGGCACCACCTACTGGCTTCTGTCAGCAGGTCTACGGATTGTTTAAAAGAAGCTAGGATTTCATACTGAATGTGAAGTTGTCTCATTTCCAAACTGTGGGAACTCATTTAAAGAAATGCATGTATATTTGTATTTGAACTCACTACCATTTCAGCCACTCTGCCAGACCTTAAAATTATTTTAAACCTCTGTGGCATGAATATTACAATCCAGTTTGGATAAGGTCCCTCAGTGTGTGGGTGGGTAGAGATGTTAAGATAGCTACCTAAATATGGCTTAGGAAATGTGGCCCCAATGCAGAGGTTCGCAGAAGACTGAGGAGAGGGAAAATCACCACCGGTCCAGTTGAAGCAGGTGGACGGGTCCTTGGTGCAGGTTGAGTCTTGTAGCATGCAGGGTGGTAGAACTTTCTGAACTCAGAGCCAGCGCACCTGTCCATGACATGCCATGTTGACAGCCAATCGGGGAGCAGTGAGTCTCTGCCCAGCCAACGAGCAGCCTGGTTGCCTGGACACCTTGGCCCTGCTCCCTATTTCATTACCCTTTGGATCTCTGAACTATCGGAGCGCACCTTTGCAGCAGCTCTCTAGCTCTCTAGCTCTCTCCCGTCAGACATGCCAACCATTGAGCTGGACACGAATTTGCCTGCTAACCGCCTACCCGCTGGTTTAGAGAAGCGGCTCTGTGCAGCCGCCGCCGCCATCCTGGGCAAACCCGAGCACGTGAGCGAGAGATGGGGTACCCTTGGCAAGGGGAGGTTGTTGGGGGTATGGGTTGGGCTTTATCCATGCCCTACCTCCCACAGTGACCCAGACTCGTCTCCTCATGGACCCCAATCCAACCGCAAATCTCTTGATTTTCCATGCCCCATGAGCCCGCAGCACCCCCTTCCCACTGACTCCTGTGACTGTCCCCAGCCATGACCCCGACACAACCTTGAAGAACACCTTGAGCCCACCCTCCTCTTCCCACATCTGAACCCCAGTGCTAGCTGGGTAGCTCGAGTTTCAGGTGAAACTTTCTTGCTCCTCACAGCACGTGAACTTGACAGTGAGGCCTGGCCTGACCATGTCGCTGTTCGGATCCACAGAACCCTGTGCTCAGTTACTTGTATCCTCCATTGGTGTGGTGGGTACAGCGGAGGAGAACCAAGGCCACAGTGCTCGCTTATTCCAGTTCCTCACCAAGAAGCTGGCTCTGGGCCAGGACCGGTAGGTAGCAGACCCATTTTGGACTGCTGGACAATCAGAGGCTGTGATCCTCCGCAGGGCCCCTGCATAAAGAGGGTGATAATTACATTCCTTGTCTGTCCAGGAAGGGCAGCCATAGTAATGTTTGGTGGAGACTGTAGGATGGAATGTATTCCTGACTCCTTAGTGTTCCCTGTTGTTGACCCATTCAAACTCAGAAACTGAAAAAGAACTTTTTTTGTGGGGGTGGGGGGGCGTCTTAGGAATTGCAGCTGAGGAGACATCTCTGACCCAGTGTTGTCAGGAAGGCAGGGAAAATGGAACTTTATATGGAAAGATAGTGTTGCATTATTACAAAGCAGTAAAAATGGCTTTGTAGGCATCTCTTGAAGAACAGGGGCTGCTCAAAGGGTAAAGAAAGTGTATGTTTAATAAAAATGCCAATAAAAAAGAGCCCCCAAACCTCTTGATATGCATTGTAAGTCTTTGGTCACAGTATAATTATCCAGTGGTTCAGAATTCATGGTTCAGATCATTCCAGACACCTGTGGTCAAAGGTAGACAGTCCTAAGTTCATATTACTAGATAATGGGGCTTCAAAAGAGACCTCTGGACTCATTTTTAACAGTGGTCTCAATGATGCTTTCACTGTCCTTTATTTTCATACTGTAAGACCTGGGAATGGCATGGCTTCTGGGACCTCAGTGTTTCCAGTGGTCACTGGGAAGGCTCTCTAATAATCACTCCCCAGGGGAATTGTAATGGTCATTGAAATTGGTTGTGCACTGCACCTGCCATGGCAAGGCAAGGTAGGAGGATGTTATTCTGAGAAAGCCGGACAGTCATATATTCAGGAGGTTTTCCAGTGTGGTCAGAAGGAAATCTGGGTATGTATGTTTGATCAGTGGCCAGCCTGGTCCCAAGTAAAGCTGGCGGGGAGCGTCCTGGAGTACTGAAAAGAGCATTGGTCTACATATATGGATACCCAGCTTCTGTTTTTGACCTAAGACAAATCTGTAAATGAGGCTGGGCACAGCAGCTTACCCCTGTAATTCCAGCTACTCAGGAGGTAGAGCTTGCGAAGATTACGGTTCAAGGCTAGGCTGGGCTCAAAAAGTTGGCGAGACCCTTCATTTTTATCAATAAGGTGAGCATGGTGGAAGATGCCTGTGGTCCCAGCCACTAGGGAGGACTTAGGTTAGGAGGATTCCAGACAGAAGATTGCCCCAGGCAAAAACATGGGACTCTACCTGAAAAATAACTAAAGCAAAAAAGGACTAGCAGCATACTCAAGTGGTAAAGTGCCTGCCTAGAAAGTGAAAGGCTCTGACTTCAAACCTCAGCACCACCAAACAAACAAACAAAAAAACTCAACCTGGAAATGAACCATCTGTAGTTTTCAGCCTCATGAGGTGAGGGAGGTCAGGCTAAATGAACTCCCTCTCCCACAAGAAGACTCTACCCCACCCAAACAAGTACTGTGTGTCAAAGTTAAAGTTTATTTCGGAGGGGAAAAATTCCTGAGCCTAGTCCAAGCCTGTGAGAAACAAAAGACATGAGACGCTTGAAAGAACCTTCCAGAATGGAGCCCTGGTTGGCCCATGAAGGCTGTCGAGGACTGGTTGTTCCTAGCAGGTGTTCAGATCCTCAAACTGGGGAAAGATAATAATTCTAAGAATAAATAACATACCATGCTTACCATGTGCCAGGAACTCATAATACCATTTCACCCTGACAAGCCCTGTCCACATCTACTTGGTGCTGACTTGCCATCTCCGTGAGGTGAGATTTTACCTCGCAGATGGTAAAATTGAGGCTTGATCCCTGCCAATCAGAGATCCCAATCCCTGTCAGGCTAACCCAATCCCTGGTGCTTATCATGAAGAACTTCTTCTGATCTCTGCAATGGGCACCTTTATTTTTTCTGTACACTTTAGTCAGGTTCACCCTGTGCCTAGTCTTGAAGCAGATTTGGAGAAAACTAAGGTGGCTGGTACACTGGGCGTGCCCCAGGGAGCTACTCTTAGGAGGAAAGGTCTGTCCTCTGAGCCCACACGGAGACGCAATGGAGCACACACCGTACAGTCAGGTCATTGTGTTGCTTCTGGCCTGGGTGATGGCCGCCTATGTGCAGCCATCACCTTGCATTCTGTCTGGGTCAATGGAAGATTGCTGAGTGGGATGAGCAGATTGGCAAAATGCCTCATGGGCCGACGTGAGCTGGCCTGAGAGCCCACAGTGGCAGTGGCTGGTAAGTATCTTGCAAGATTGGGTGATTGCTAAGGAGCTGACATCTTTTTCTCTGTTTCCTGAAGGATACTCATTCGCTTTTATCCAGTGGAGCCCTGGCAGATTGGCAAAGACGGGACGGTTGTTACTTTTTTGCAATTGACATAAAGATGCAGGATATCTGTCAACCAGTTTCCTGTTCCAGTGAGGCTTCCTGGTGGAGACAGTGCTTGGTGGATATCAGCTTCCGGTATCTCCTTATGCACAGATGCTGGTGATATCACAATTCTTCTCTTCCCCTTTCTCATGCCAAATAAATAAAGAGAACTTTATATTTCAAATATGGCTTCTTTATCTCTCTATTATCCTCTCCAGCATCCTGGGACATTGTGGGGAATGGGCTTGGTTTATGAGGAATATTGAGGTTGGTTGTTTCCTGTTCTCATAGCTGCTGTTTCATATGTTTATAGCTCTGCAATCAGGGGAGGCTAAGATCAAGGGTATACTGTGTACACACATGTAAGCACACTGGGGATGTGGGGGACACCTGGTCTGGCCTGGAACTTCCTGAATACTCTGTTGTTATCCTGAGATTTCTGTCCTCACCCTGGGGTGATCAGGGGCCATTACTTTCTGTTGACTGCTGTGCTGGTCGACAAATAAAGCTGCCTGCATTTCAGAGTTCTTCCCTGAAGATTTCACACTGGACTTCACATTGTATGTTCACTCTTGATGATAAATCACTGGATCTGAGAGCTATGCACTTTGCAAAACCCATGCCAAACATGGGAAGGTAGTGTCTACCAATAAGCCAAGCAGAGAAATACAATGCCCCTAAAATAGTGAATGCTTTCTTTACTTTCAATGTAGGTACATATTGTGTTTTTGAATTTCAAAGGATTACCAGGTGGGGGTAGGGAGAATGCAAAGGAAGTCTCATCTTAGTAGCTTTCCAGATGTTCCTGCAGAGTTAAACTCAGTTCATGACCCTTCTGCACTGGTGGAAGGTTTTCCTTGCCAGTCAGACATCAGATGATCCTTGTCTTCAGTGCATTAGTGATTTTCAAGTTGAAATTTTTGTTCTGGTCAGTCTACATGGTTAATAAAGTTAGTTTCCAATGGAATATGCCTGTGTGCTGTGTTTGTGCCTGAGCACTGTTTAGGCCTCCTATTAAAAGTAGACCTTTATGCTTAGGGTGTGGCTCAAGTCATACAGTGCCTGCCTAGCAAGTGCAAAGCCCTGACTTCAAACCCCAGTACTGAAACAAAAAAGTTTTAAGATGGGTGCCAGAAGTTCTGAGGCACAACTATATTCCTAGCTACTCAGGAGGTGGAGATTAGGAAGATCACAGTTCAAGGCAAAAATTAGATCCTATCTCTAAACTAACCAGAGAAAAAGTTCTGGAGGCATGTTTTAAGCAGTCAAGCACCTGCCTGGCTTGGTTTGAATCCCTGCGTTCCAACCACAGTACCATCAAAAAAAAAAAAAAAACCACAAAAACCCATAAAATAAAAGGCTGGCCTTGGAGTTCCTTCCCAGGAATTGCTATCCCAACTGTTTCTACACTTACTCCTTCTGCCAAGGTGATCCATAGGTTGGAGCTCTGAGATACAGACAGGCCTTCCAGTCTGATCAAAACCCCAGATATGAAAATGGATCAGAGGGGCAGATCACGGAGAATCTGTCATGTAGCTGAACCTGGCTAGGGCTGTCAGGTGTCTTACAGATGCACAGCTCTGAGAGCTGTTGAATATGGAACTACAGAGATTGCAGAGGTTTGGTCATAGGGGAGGGGAGAAATGGGAGACAATCCTGGCTTCCAGATAGGTATCTGAATGGAGGTGCTATCCTTTACTGAATGTCTCTGTGTTGAAGCCCCTTAGAGCAATGTGGCTGCAGAGTCTGTGCTCTATGCACCATCCAACACCCAGGGAGGCATGAGGAGCTTTGGAGTTGACTGCAAAGGCTAGATGGAATGGGGGTTACAGGAGGGGAGGACTCCTGGGGAAGGGGACTGGCAACTTTGAGTAGGTAGACAGGCAGTTGGTGGGACCTCAGAACACCAAATTGTGGAATGCCAAATTTTGTGTCACAAAGGGAAACCAAGGCACAGAGCTCAGCACAAATTCTCCTAATATGCCATTTTTCCTGAGCTGCCAGCAGTTACTCCTATGCCCTTTGGACACTCCAGGCTGTCTGGAAATACTGACTTTGAGGGAAGAAAAAAATACAAATCACAGTTTTGCTACACATATTATTCTTGTATACAGAGATATTCAGTGAAAAAAGAGTCAAAGCAGGAAGACATAAGGAGACATTTCAATAAATGTTTGATTTCTGTGTATGAGAGGACATTCTAAGCCTTAGCATAGTGGCACAACTCAACAAAGAACTGTGATAGAGTTTGCATATTCAATGAAATTGTATGTAAGGAAAAAAAAGAAACTTAAAATAAGGGGAAAATGTAGGAATGAGGTTGGTAAAGATATGCTGTAAATAATATTCTTGAAGGTGCTCTTACAAACCCATCAGACAAGTATATGGGAGAAATATGGGCCACAGAACCCACCAAGGAAGGGTTTAATTGATGGATAGAGGGAAATGGCTAATAGATGGATGAAAACATGTTTTAAAAAGGCAATATACACATTCCACTTTTGTTATCAAATGTGCATATGTTTTTGAAATGATACTCTGAATTAATATTTGCAGAGCACTACCATAATTTCTAGCACACAGTGGGGACCCTGTGTTATGAGTGAGCATAAAGTGAACCATGCTCATCCCTGGCTGCAGGTAGGGTACCCCATTTCTGGAACGACATTTGGCTGAAGTAGTTTTTTTCACTGCCCTGAAAAACTACAAGTAACTGACATGGGAGTTACTTGCTTCATCCCTCCTAGCTACATTCATTTCAGACCCCTCATTTACTCCTACTTCGGCCTCCTAGCCTTCCCTCATGCTGTTTTCACCTCATCTTCTTTGCCTAGTGCCTGTCTGGGTCTTTTGGCATTTAACATGTTGCTACCCCAGGGAGACTTTCCTGACCTCTCCAATCCCAAGCCAGGTCAGGTGACTTCTCTGGTCTCCTTAGCGCCATTGTTTCTCTCTCTCAGATGTAACACGGAGCAGGCTCCTTGTCTCCTGGACTGAACACAGTCACAAATGAGGTTGACTGGGTAAAGAGATGTCTGATCAGGAATGTCCTCTGAACCTAGGTCTTTTTCCTCTCTCTGAGATGACGTCTTCCACAAGTGGGATACAAGTGGAAGTTCATGACTTTCCCTGCAGGAAGGGAGTTCCTAGTTATGTCTTGGTTGTCTTGGTGCTGAGCAACCTTGGTCTTCCATGCCGGTTCCTAATCCTGACGGTGTCTCAGATTTGCCATCTGTCCCTGCCATTTCCTTTTAAGATGGTCACAGCCTACCTGTCTTGTGTCCCAGATCCTCTGATAGCTGATATCTAATAAATTAACTGTTAACAGGAGAGGGAAGGACAGAGATTCTTGGTCTTCACTGAGGCTTCTTTACCATGCACACTTACATAGAAATTTATGTAATTTATACTTTTATTTGAAATTTCCAATTCAAATGACTTTTCAATATTATAAGGATCATGTTGAACCAACCCACTGATTTCTGTGATTTAGATGACACCCTTTGCCACCCTCTGGCAAAGAGTAGGAAGGCAGATGTCTATGGGGAGACAGAGTGAAAGAGAGAGAGAGAGAGAGAGAGAGGGAGGGTATGGCACCACCTGCTGGCTCCTGTTGGCAGGTCTCCAGATTGTTTAAGAGAAGCTCAAATTTCACATCGAATGTGAAGTTGACTGACTTTGAAACAGTGGTAACACATTTTTAAACTATATATATTGATAGTACACAGGGTTGAACTCACTACCACTTGAGCCACTCTGCCATCTCCTAAATTTTTTTAAAACCTCTGTTCCATGGATATTATAGTCCAGCTTGGGTAACGCCCCTACAGGTGTGTGTTTGCGGTGGGAATTGGGGGAGAGGGAGAGATGATGTTAAGACCTCGACCTAAATATAGCTTAGAAGCTGTGGCCCCAATGCAATGGTTCCCGAAAGCCTGAGGAAAGGGAAAAGTCACTACCAGGCCAGCTGGAGCAGGTTGGCAGGTCCTTGACACAGCCAGGGTCTTGTAGAATGTAGGATGACTTGACTTTCTGAACCAAGCCAGAGCACCTATTGATGAGATGTAGTCTTGGCATCCAGTTCAGGAGCAGGGAGTCTCTGCCTAGCCAGTGAGAAGCCGGGTTGTCTGGGCACCTCCTCCCTAGTCCCTCTTTCGTTACCGTTTGGAAGTCTGAACTCCATTCAATTACACCTTTGCAGCAGCTGTCTGTGTAGCTCTCCCTCACCTGCCAGGCATGCCAGTCATTGAGTTGGACACGAACTTGCCTGCCAACAGCATACCCATGGGGTTAGAGAAGAGGCTCTGCTCGGCCACCGCTGCCATCCTAGGCAAACCTGAGCACGTAAATGAGGGTTGGGGTGACCTGGGTGAAAGAAGGTTGTGAGGGATAGAGGTCTTGCTTTGTCCAAACCCTCACTCTACAGTGACCCAGATTCTTCTCCTCAGGAACCCCCAATCTGCTCGCCAATCTCTGATTTTTCATGCACTATGAACCTGCAGGTCTCCCTTCCCGCTGCTGCCTGTCGCCCTCCCCAGCCATGACCCCAACCTGATGCAACCTTCAAGAACATGCTAAGCCCCTTTCCCCTCCCACCTCTGGGCCCCAGAGCTAGCCCCGTAACCTTAGCTTCAGGTGAAACTTTCTTTTGCCCTTTGCAGCTTGTGAACGTGACAGTGAGGCCCAGCCTGATGACCATGTTGATGTTCAGATCCACAGAGCCCTGTGCTCAGTTGCTGGTTTTCTCTTTTGGTGTGGTGGACACTGCAGAGAAGAACCAAGGCCACAGCGCTGGCTTCTTTGAGTTCCTCACCAAGGAGTTGGCCCTAGGCCAGGACCGGTAGGAAGCAGATCGTTTTGCAACTGCTGGGCAACCAGAGGCTGTGATCCTGCCTCATGGCTCCTGCATAAAGTAGGGATAAGTTATATTTATGCCTTGCACAAGAAGGATGCTACATGAATGTTTGATGGTGACTATAAGACAGAATGTTTTCCTGGCCTCACAGCATTCCCTGCAAACTCACAAATGGTAAAATAACTTTTTTGGGAATCTTATGAATTGAAACTGAAAACACATCTCTGGCCCACTGTTCTCAGGAAAGCAAGGGAAAAGGAACTTTATACCTGCAAGCAGGCTTGCATTATGACAAAGAAGTAAAAATTCCTTTGTAAAAAGCTTCTTTAAGAACAAGGACTGTTCGAGGAGTGGAAGGTAAAGAAAGTGTATGTTTAATAAAAATGCCAATAAAACAAGAGCCTGAGAACCTCCTGATGTGCATTGTATATTTCTGGGCACAGTGTAATTATCCAATGGTTCAGGGTTCAGATATTTTCAGATACTTGTGGTCTTAAGTGGCAGAAACCTAAATTCATATTAGCAGATAATGGGACTTCAAAAGGACTTTGGTTCTGCTTCCTTGACTGACCTCTGGATTCATTTTTAATAGCTCTCTCAATGTTGCTTTCATTGGGCTTTATTTTTATAATGTGAGACCATGGCCTCTGGGACCTCAGTGTTTCCAGCTGTTCCCTGTGAAGGCTGTCAAGTTAACCACTCCCCAGAGGAATTGCAAGGTTCATTGAGATGGGTTGTGGACTGCACCTGCCATGGCAAAGCAAGGTAGGAGGAAGTTATTACCTGAAGAAGCCAGACAATCTGGTTTTCAAGAGGTTTGTAGTTTGGTCTGGGTATGTCTTTTGATCAGGTTCTGCATTTGAACCAAGACAAACCTGGAAATAAGGCTGGGCACAATGGCTTACCTCTGTAATTCCAGCTACTCAGGAGATGGAGACTGGGAGGACTGCAGTTCAAGGCCAGCCTAGGAAAAAGAAGTTAGCAAGACCCTCATCTCTATCAATAAGCTGGGCATTGTGAGAGATGCCTGTGGTTCAGCCACTTGGGAGGCCTTAGGTTAAGAGACTTCTAGTTCCAGGACCGCCCCAGGCAAAAACATGGTAGCCTACCTGAAAAATAACCAAAGCAAAAAAGGATTAGCAGCATTCTCAAGTGATAGTGTGCCTGCCTGGAAAGTGGAAGGCCCTGTCTTCAACCCTCAATTAAAAGACAAAACAAAACCTGGGAATGAACCATCTGTCGTTTGCAGCCTCTTCGTCTTTGAATAGAGGAAGGAATCAGGCCAAATGAACAACCTTTTCCACAAGAAGGCTCTACTCCACCCAGACCAGTACTGTGTGTCAGAGTTAAAGTTTATCTCTGAGGGGAAAAATTTCTGAGCCTAGTCCAAGCTTGTGAGGAACAAAAGATATGAGACGCTTGAAAGAACCTTCCAGAATGGAGTCCTGATTGGTCCACAAAGGCTGTTGAGGACTGGTTGCTCCTGGTGGGTGTTCAGATCCTGAAGCTGGGGAGAGATAATAATTCTAACAATAAATAATGTACCGGGGCTTCCTATGTGCCAGGAACTCTGCACTTTTAGTGCCATTTCACCCTGACAAGCTCTTGCCCACATCCCTTTGGTGCAGACTTGCCATCTCCATGAGGTGGATGTCTGCATTATAACAACCTTACAGATGGTAAAACTGAGGCTTGGTCCCTGCCAGTCCTCTACCCTCTGTCAGGCTAACCCAATCCCTGTGCTTTTCATGAAGAACTTCCTCTGATCTCTGCAATGGTCACCTTTATTTTTTCTACACATTTTAATCAGGTTTACCCTGTGCCTAGTCTTGAACAAGAGTTGGAGAAAACTAGGGTGGCTGGTGTACTGGGCATGCCCCCAGGGAGCTGCACTTAGTTGCGGGGGTCTGTCTCTCTGAGCCCACGCACTGAGAGACACAGTGGAGCACACAGGATACCGAGTCAGGCCACTGTGTTGTGTCTGTCTTGAGTGGGCCACGCCCATAAGCATCTATCACCTTGCATCTGATCGTTCCCCTGTTCTGTTTGGGTCAATGGAAGATTACTAATTGGGATGAGCAGCTTGGCAAAATGCTTCATGGGCCGGCGTGAGCTGGCATGAGAGCACAAAGTGATAGTACCTAGTAGGTATCTTGTGAGATTTGGAGATTATTAAGGAGCTTTTTCTCTGTTTCCTGAAGGATACTTACTCGCTTTTATCCAGTGGAGCCCTGGCAGACTGGCAAGGATGGGACAGTTGTTACCTTTTTACAACTGGCATAAAGGATGCAGGATATCTGTGGACTAGCCGCCTGTTCCAGAGAGGCTTCCTGGCAGATTCAGTGCTTAGTGGATATCAGCTTTGTGTACCTTCATGCAGAAATGCTGGTGATCTCTTCCCCTCCCTCATGCTAAATAAATAAAGAGAACTTCATCATTCAATTATGACTTCTTTACTCTCTATTCCCTCCCCAGCATCCTGAGTCACGGTGGGGAGTGGTCTTGGTTTATTGAGGTTGGATGGTTTCTTGCTATTTCATATGCTTATAGCACTGAAATCAGGTGAAGGGCAATGCAACTAAACATTGATGTGTAGAGGAACCTACACATCAATGTCCTGCCCTAGGACTTCCTGCATACTTTATTGAGATCCTGAAATTTCTAACATCAACCTAGGTAGCTGTGCTGGCCTGGTAAATAGGGCTGCCTGAACTTCAGGGATCTTCCCTGGACTTCACTTTGCATGTTGGCTCTTCTTGACTAATCACTAGAGTGGGAACTGTGCACTGAGGAAAACTCATACCAATCATGGGGACGGTAAATTCTGCCAGCATGCTAAGCATGAAAATGCAATATCAAGAGAAACAGTGAATGCCATCCCTGCTCTGTGATTTAAATACCATATCATTCCATTCTTTTGCATTTCAGAGTATTTACAGGTGGAATAGTGAGAGCCCAAAGGAAGTTTCCATCTCAGTAGTTTCCCAGATGTTCGTGCAGAGTTGAACTCAGCTCATGACCCTTAGACCCCGAGGAAGCTGTTTCCCTGCCAGTTAGACATCAGATGATCTTTGTTTTCAGTCACACGTGAAATGTCAAGTTGAGATTTTTGTTCTATTCAGTCTACATAGTTAATAAAGTTAGTTTCCAATGAAAAATGCCTGCCTACTGTGTGTGTGCCTGACCACTGTTCAGGTCTTCTATTCAAACTTGGCCTTGGTGCTCAGAGTGCAGTTTAACTGGTACAACGCCTGCCTAGCAAGTGAAAAGGCCTGACTTCAGACCCCAGTACTGAAAAACAGTTTTAAGGCAGTTTTCAGAGGCCCTGAGACTTACACCTATAAGCCTAGCTACCAGGAGGTGGAGATCAGGAAGATAGCAGTTCCAGGCCAGCCCAGGCAAAAAGTTCTCAAGACCCCATCTCAAAAACAGCTATGTGTGATGACACGCAACTGTCATCTATGTGACTGTGGGAAGCTTAAATAGAAGGATCTCTGTCCAGGCTGACCAGGCAAAAATTGAGACCCTATTCCCAAACTAACCAGAGCAAAAGTGCTGGAGGCATGTCTCAATCAGTTGAGTGCCTGCCAAATAAGTGTGAATCCCTGTGTTCAAAGTCCAGTACCACCAAAATAAATAACCAAATGAAAGGCTGATCTTGGAGTTCTTCCCCATGGCTCGCTTTACCAATTTTTTCTGCACTTTTCTATCTACAGGTGTTTCATAGGTTACACTCCAGCCTGACAAAAAGGACCTAAGCCTTCCCCTCCAAATTCCAGATAGGAAAATGGATCAGAGAGGCAATACTAAAACTCAGGGAGTGTTTTACACCTGGGGATAAACCTGATTTGGGGTGCCAGGTGATTACAGACATATAGAATCACCCTCACACAACCCAAAATGGAGATTTTGCTTGGCCCTGCTCCCCCAGGGTGGGAACAAGGAAGGAGTCCCTCTGATGAGGTCAGCATTTGCGATCTACATAGCACCATTTCTCATATAAATCCTGGCAAGAAGTACTATTTCCCTGGGAAGTTGAAGGAATGCCCATGGGTACTGATTACCCATCAGTACCAGCCTACAGGGCTGCATAGGGTTAGCAGAGTGGAGAAATGGGAGCCAAGAAATGGGGCCAAGACTGGCCTCTAGGCTGGTGGGTGAATGGTGGTGCTAACCTTTACAGAGTGCCTCTGTGTTAAATCTACTTGGAGCAAAGTGGCTGTACAGCCCATGGTCTATGCACAGTCTGTCCTGGTGCTTAGCAGCCTTGGTCCTCCATGCCTGTTCCTAACCCTGACTATTATCTTTTCTGAGTCCCAGACTTTCCCCCTGTCCCTGCCATTTCCTCTCAGAACTGTCACAACCTACTATCTTGTGTCCCAGATTCTCTGATAGCTGACATCTAATAAACTGTTAACAGGAGACGGAAGGACAGAGTCTCTTGGCTTCCCATAGAGGCTCCTTTATCATGCACACTTACATAGAAGTTTATTTTGTAATTGAAAGTGTATATATACACACATAATGTTAATTATATTTGAAATACCCAATTCAAATGACTTGGCAACATTGATGAGGATCATGTTGAACCAACCCACTGATTTCTGTGATTTAGATGACACCCTTTGAAATCCTGTGGCATAAGAGTCTAGAAATACAGATGTCTGTGGGACTAGACAGAGATGGCGTGGCCCCACCTGCTGGAGCCTGTCTGTGGGTCTCCTGATTGTTTAAGAGAAGCTCAGATTTCATACTGAATGTGAAGTCCTGTGACTTTGAAACAGTGGCAACTTATTAAAAATACAAATACATGTAGATTGACGGTACTGGGGTTTGAACTCACTACCACGTGTGCCATGCTGCCATTCCTTAAATGTTTAAAACCTCTCTGGCATGGATATTACACCAAAGATGTGTGCATGGAGGTGGGGGGGATGTTTACACTTCTACCTAAATATTGCTAGGAAATGTGATCCCCGTGAAAAGTTTCCAGAAAGCATGAGGAGAGGAAAAATCACCACCAGTCCAGCTAGGGCAGATGGCCGGGTCCTTATGAAGCCAGTCTTGTAGCATGTAGGGTGCCATGGCTTTCTGAAATCAGAGCCAGTGCACCTGTCCATGAGATGTAACCTTGGCAGCCAATCAGGGAGCAGTGAGTCTCTGTCCAGCCAATGAGCAGCCTGGTTGCCTGGGCACCTTGGCCCTGCTCCCTATTTCATTACCCTTTGGAAGTCTGAAATCTACTAGAGCGCACCTCTGCAGCAGCTGTCCCTCTAGCTCTCCCTCTCCTACCAGATGTGCCAACCATTGAGCTGGACACAAACTTGCCTGCTCACCGCCTACCCACAGGGTTAGAGAAGCGGCTCTGTGCAGCCACTGCAGCCATCCTGGGCAAACCTTAGCATGTGAGTAAGGGTTGGGGTGCCCTTGGCAAGGGAGGATGTTGGGGTAAGGAGTCGAGCTGTTCCACATCCAGCCTCCCACAGTGACCCTGGCTTTCTTCTGAGGGATCCCCAATCTACCCACCAATCTCTATTCTCCTATGCCCCTGAACCCACAGTTCCCCCTTCCCACTGCCTCCTGTCACCCTCTCCAGCCATGACCCTGACACAACCTTCAAGAACACCCTGGGCCCCCCTTCCCCTCCTACATCTGGGCTCCAGTGCTAGCTGGGTAATCGGAGCTTCAGGTGAAACTTTTCTGTCCCTCTCAGTACGTGAATGTGACGGTGAGGCCCGGCCTGACCATGTCGCTGTTCAGATCCACAGAGCTCTGTGCTCAATTGTCAGTGTTGTCCATTGGCGTGGTGGACATTGCCGAGAAGAACTGAGGCCACAATTCTCGCTTATTTGAGTTCCTCACCAAGGAGCGGGCCCTAGGCCAGGACTGGTAGGTAGCAAACCCGTTTTGGACTACTGGACAACCAGAGGCTGTGATCCTCCTCAGGGCCCCTGGATAAGAGGGTGATAATTACATTTTTTACATTCCTTATTGTCCAGGAAGGACAGCCATATCAAGCCTTGTGGTTCTGGTTACTAGAGGACCGAACACGTTCCAAGCCTTGCAGTGTTCCCTGTTGTTGACCCATTCAAACTCAGAAATTGTAAAAGTATTTCTTGGGGATCTTAGGAATTGAGACTGAGGAGACATCTCTGACCCAGTGTTCTCAGGATGGCAGGGAAAATGGAACTGTATACCTGCAAGAAGGGTTGCATTATTACAAAGCAGTCAAAATTCCTTTGTAGAAAGCTTCTTTAAGAACAGGGATTGCTTGAGGGGTAGCAGGTAAAGAAAGGGTACGTTTAGTAAAAATGCCTATCAAATAAGAGCCCGAGAACCTCCTGATATGAATTGTGAGTCTCTGGGCACAGTGTAGGGTTTAGGGCTCAGTGTTCAGATTATTTTAGATACCTGTCGTCTAAGGTGCAAGGTACCTAAATTTGTATTACTTGATAATGGGGCTTCAGAACTTCAGTCCTGCCTCATTGACTGACCTCTGGACTCATTTTTAACTGCTCTCTCAATGTTGCTTTCATTGTGCTTTATTTTCATATTGTGAGACTTGGGCAGGGCCTGGCCTCTGGGACCTCATGTTTCCTGCTGTTCACTGGGAGGCTGTCTTTTAACCACTCCCCAGGGGAACTGCAAGGGTCACTGAGATGGGTTGTGGACTATACCTGCCATGACAAGGCAAGTTAGAAGGATGCTATTTCCCGGAAAAAGCCAGTCTGATTTTTAAGAAGTTTTCTAGTCAGGTCAGAAGGAAATGTGGGTATGTCTTTTCCATCAATGGCCAACCAGGTCCCAGGTGAAGCTGGTGGAGAGGGTCATGGAGTACTGAAGAGAGAATTGATCTAGATATATGGATACCCAGGTTCTGTCTTTGACCCAAGGCAAACCTTCAAATGAGGCCAGACACTATGACTCATATCTCTAACTCCAAGTACTCAAGAGATGGAGTTTGGGAGGACTGCAGTTCAAGGCCAGCCTGGGGGAAAAAAGTTAGTGAGATCCCCATCTCTATCAATGAGCTGGGCATGATGGCAGATGTCTGTGGTTCCAGCTACTCTGGAGGCCTTAGGTTAGGATTCCAGTCCAAGAACTGACTCATGAAAAACTTGGGCCTCTTCTTGGAGGTGTGTTCAAGTGGTAGAGTGCTTACCTAGCAAGTGCAAGGGCCCTGAGTTCAAATGTCAGCATCACACACACACACACACACACACACATCTGTAGTTTTCAGCCTCATCTGGAAATAGAGGAAGTGAGGTCATGCTAAATGACACTGTTAGGTGTAATGGAGCACACAGCAGACCCAGGCAGGCCACTGGGTTGTGTCTGTCCGGGCTGAGCCACATTCATGGGTAGCCATCACCTTGCATCTAATCATCCCTCAGTTTTGTCTCGGTTAATGGAAGAGCAATAACTGGGATGAGAAGGTTGGCCAAATGTCGGAGAGCCCTGGGAGTGGGTGTGCCTGGGAGGCAGCTTACAAGATTGGGAGATTGCTGAGGAGCTGACATCTTTTTCTCTGTTTCCTGAAGGATAGTTATCTGCTTTTATCCAGTGGAGCCCTGGCAGATTGGCAAGGATGGGACAGTTGTTACTTTTTCAGATTGACAAAAAGGATGCAGGATAACTGTGAACCAGTTGCCTGTTCCAGAGAGGCTTCCTGGCAGAATCAGTGCTTGGTGGACACCATCTTCATGTACCTCCTCTTGTAGTAATGTTGGTGATCTCGCACTCCTCCTCTTCCCTTCCTTATGCCAAATAAATGAAGAGAACCAAATATGACTTCTTCTCCTATTTCTCTCCCCAGCCCACTGAGCCACTGTAGGTAGTGGGTCTGGTTTATGAGGATGGGATCTTTGTGATCATGGAGGTAAGATGTTTCCTGTTTTCAGAGTTTCCTGTTTCTTTCATATGTTTACAGTGCTGAAATCTTGGGTGGAAGGCTCAGCCTGGAGGTTCTGCTCTCTACATGCATGTGTAATCCAGTGGGTACATGGGGACAGCTGGTCTGGCATGGAATCCTGTACATTCTACTGATATCCTGAGGCTCCTGAACTCTGCTCTAAGTGGTGTGAGACATTTACTCTCTGTAGACTGCTGTGCTAGGCAAAGGAACAGGACTGGTGGTTTTCAGGCAGCTTCCTGGGTCATTCTAAAAATATGACTCTTGCTGAGAATTCTCTTGAGCTGTGCTCCTTGCAAAATCATGTCTCAGAGTACCAAGCATGGAAATGTAATGTCTGCCACTAGAGACAGAATAAGAACCATCTTCAACCACACCTACATACCATATTATGCCTTTGTATTTCAGAGTGTTTACAGGTGTGATCGGGAGAGCCACAAGGAAGTCTCTATCTTAGTAGCTTTCCAGATGTTCATGAAGAATTGACAGCACATGACCCTTAGATGCTGGTGGGAGATGTTTCCCTGCACAGAGGTTTGATGATCCTTTTCTACAGTGCACCAGTCAAATACCATATTTAGAATTTTGTTCTGTAGGCTACATAGTTAATAAAGTTAGTTTCCAATGGAATATGTCTGCCTGCTGTGTTTGACTGACCACTGGTTATGCCTCTCATGGGGGAGGGTGGTGGTGCTGTGGCTCATGCGTGTAATCTCAACTACTCAGGAGGCAGAAATCAGGAAGTTTGAGACTTGAGACCAACTCTTACAAAAAGGGATTTTCTATCTCAAGAAATAATCTCTGTGTGACAATTTATGATTGTAATCCTAGCTATGGGGAGGCATAGGTAGGATCAAGGTCGCAGGCTGGCCCTGGGCAAAAATGCAATCCTATCTGAAAAATAACTAAAGCAAAAAAGGGCTGGAGGTTTAGCTCAAGTGGTAGAGCACCTGCCTAGCAAGTGCAAGGTTCTGAGGTCAAACTCCAGTACCACCATAAAAAACAAGACCAAAAAACCACAAAGAACAACAGAAAACCTAGATCTTGGAGTTCTTTTCCTTGGCTTGTTGTCCCAATTGTTTCTGCCCTCATTCCTTCTGCAGACATGTTTCATAGGTGTCCTGGGTCCTAGAATGACTCAAGGAATGTTTGCAGGTTGAATGAATGAATGGTTGCAGTGCCTAAGAATGAGACTGAGGTCTTTAACTCTCAGCAGGATCATGAAGCGACTGTCTCCCTATATTAAGTAGATTGACTTTATAGTGAGAGTGAAGTCATCTGCCTGCTGTGTGGACTGGCACCTCCCTTCTCCAATGTTCTCTACCCCCATAGTGACTCTGAATTTTAACGCCTGTTACGACTGCGCTATCTGAGGTTGCTGCAGGAGCAACACTGTTTAACACTTTGAACCCTTGCCTCACAGCTCCTTCTTGCTCTGACTACCCTTTCACCTTTAATCAAAGGTTTCACTGTAACGCATCTTTCAGACACCACTTAGTGATCGAAGCACCCAATGTGCACATTACCCATGCAATTAAAAAATCATCGATTTCTGTTCTGCCATGCCCCACCCCCTTGCAGGGGTTAATTAAAGTTAAAGTCAAGGTCAATTACTTATTAATTTTTGTATCTTCTGGCATATCAATAGGGCCTTTTTTGGGTATTGCGCTGACTCTGAGTTAGTCAGCATAATTTTAGTCTTCGGTGTTTAAAAAAAATTGTTTACTGTTTTTATACAATGCCAAAAAGGCTATAACATTCATTCTTATTTAAATCATTCTTGGACGATGCAAGGAGCCATGGATTCAACTCATTCGAAAGCCCGTCCCTACAATGGTTTATAGGAGTAACCTCTAGGGCTACAGGCATGATCCAAGTGGTAGAGCGCTTGCCTAACACCAACGAGGCCCTGAGTTCAAATCTCAGTACTGCCAAAAAATAACCTCTCCAAATGGAAGCCCTTGTCAGAAATCCCTCAACTCTGAAACCTCTGTTCAGCCTGATTTCTGACATTTACTCCACTTCCCCTTCATTTTTTCGATCTTTTTCCCCCTTTGCTTCAATAGTTTGAATCGAATCAAACTAGTTTGTGTCTCTTGGGTTATTAAACTCCCACCCCCTTTTCTTTTGAGACATTGTCTGGCTATGGAGCCAGACCATTCTTCTGTTTCAGCCTCGTCCTGCCTCAGCCTCCCGAGTGCTGAGATGACATAAGTTCACCACTATGTCCGTCTGGGCTTCATTTTTTTTACTTTTCAGAAAAAGGAGAGGCACGGGTAACGCAATAAGAAGGACGCTCTTCCGCCCCCGACTTCTAAGTGTTCCTCGGGTTTCCGCTGCTTTCAGAGTTCCTGTCCCAGGCCCTACCAAGATAAACAGGCCTTCGTTCGGCGACCGCTGAGGACCACGCGCGAGGTCAGCGCTTCACCAGTACTGCACGTGGTGGACCTGAAGTCCGATCCAGAGCTAGCGCTCTGAGCTCCCATATAAACTCTTGGACCTAGAGCAAGGACCCGGAGCCCCTTACGCACACCCCGCCCGTAAGGCAGGCGCCGCCCGCAGGGCCCCAGTGAAAGCACCGGCCAGCGAGCAGCGCGTGTGCCCACGCTGATTGGTTGGCAGGGCCGGCGCTCTAGCCAATGGAAACGCTCCTTGTTGTCAGGCGCGCAGCCGGCCGGCGCGGGGATCCTGGCGGACTGGCCGTTGCTGTGGAGACGCCTGGTGAGTTCCTAGGGCTGCCGGTGTGCTTCTAGGGGGGTTGTTCGGCTTAGGCACGCAGCTAGAGTGAGCCTGGGGCGCGGGGCGGGAGGACTGCGGGCGCGAGGTCGCGTCAAGTGAGATCTCCAGGGGACTCCTCCGGCATCCCCAGAGCCACCGTAAGGGAAAGCGAGGCCCGAGAGCAGGAGGGACTGGGCGGGGTCTTCTGCCTACTTCGCGGGCTTCCTGGTTCTTGCGGGCGGCCTGAGGTGTCCTAGGATGGGCTCCGGCCTCTGTAGTGGCTCGCGGTGACCACTGGGAGACTGCCAGGCGCACAGCCTGGCACTAGCCTTTTTCTTGGCGTCCTTTCACTCACCTTCACGGCAGCCTGCCGAGGTGAGGGGTGTGGTTAGGGCCATTTGCAGAGGTGGAAACTGAGACTGGGGGAAGGTGAAATGACTTGGCTTCTTGTCATCCCGTGGGTCGACTCGACTGCAAGTGAGACTTCCGTTCTGCGGCCCAGCCTCCCAGGAGGGGCGGGCCCTGGTTGGCTTGACGTCACGTGACGCGCCCAGGTCTCTGCACAGGTGGATCTGGGGGCTGCTTAACTCTTCAGGACCTGAGTTATTACAGATCCCGTGTGGTTCAGGTTCCTTCTGTGTGATTCATTTCTATGGTTAGAAATAGAATATCCTTAGAACGGTCTTGTTCAGGGGTCAGCGAGCCTTTGTAAACATCATTTGTATTGTTTCACGTGTTGTAAATTTAACAAGTATAACAGTACTTGTAGAGAATTATTTTAATCTTTATGGCTCACACTCTGTCTACTAAACTCTGGTGTTGTAGTGTGAGTACAGCCAAAGACAATACATGAGTGGCAATAGTCCACTAAAATTTTATTTATGGCTACTGAAATTTGGATGTTAGGTAATTTTTATGCGTCATGATTTTTTTCTCATTAGAAGTGTAAAAACCATTTTTTGCTCCAAGGCTGTGCAAAAGCCGTGTACATCCTGCCTAGCTTAGTGTACAGTGGTTAGCTTGCGGAAGCCTTGTGTAGTCCAGAGCCTCACACAGTAGAGGAAACTGCAACTGTAGAGGGAGGGGCATCTAGGCAAGTCATTCACACCCAGGTCTTTCCACAACCGAGTTTAAGACCATAGCATCCAGACTTGTAAGCCAGAGCAGGTCAGGAAACACCACCACATATCATTCTGGATCAGGGGCCGAAGTACCCAAAATGCTTGTTCTTCCCTTGTCCCCCCCCCCTTTTTTTTTTTAAATCATGTGTTCTTAGACTATGGAAACCATACTTTAAAGACTTTGGAAACTTGCTAGCTTAAAGTGGTGAATGTACTATTCTGAGAAAAATGCAACTACTGGACTGGGAATCTGAGAAATGATTGCATGTTGAGCACCTGTAATTGGAAAATCTGAAGTGCTCTGAAATCTCAGACTATTTGAGTGTACACATGACTGTACAAGCTGAAAATTCCACACAATGAAACTTTGTTTCATGTATACAATTATTAAACAAATTGTATAAAATTATCTTCAGGCTACAAGTATACCATGTATATGAAGCATAAATGAATTTAATGTTAGACTTAGGTCCTGAGCCCAAAATGTATCATTTTGTATATGCACATATTCCAAAGTTTGAAGGAAACTGTACTACAGACATGATTCAAATTTCACCAGCTTTTCTGCCAGGTTTCTGTTTTATTCCAGGATCCTGACCAAGATCCAGTTCTGCATTTAGTTATTTCTCCTTAGTCTGCTGCAGTCCATAATAGGTCCTCAGTCTTTTCTTGTCTTCCTTGGGTTTGCTACTTTTAAAGAATGCTGGTCAGGGATATTATTTATTTATTTATTTATTTATACTGTGGATTGAACTGTTGTCGTTTCGTCTAGTGTTCCTCACTTTGGATTTGTCCAGTGTTTTCTCATGATTGAAGTGAGGTTTTGCATTTTAGCCCCAAATACCACATTTTTGTGTCCTCAGTCATCTTATAAGGGAATCTAAGATGTTGGTATATTGTCTTATATATGACAATTACCCTGGTCACTTGGTTTAGTTGGCGCCTGCCAGGTTTCTACATTAAAAAGTTAGCATTGTCCCCTTCCTAGTTAATCTTGGAGAGGATACATATTCTGGTCCTCCATAAATTCATGCCCACTGACTTTAATATCTGCTTAGTGGATACTAAATTTGATGTTTGCTTAAATGTATTATCCACTTTGTCTTTCCTGCTGTATTGATTAGTTGAAAATCTACTGAAGAAAGAACTCTTCATTCTCTCATTTTTGATTACTTACTTGTATTAGCATGGACCATGGATATTCACTTTATTTTATGAGTTAGATTTCAATATTATTTTTATTCTGTTGCTTACTGTTTCTGTATTCGCTATTTAGAATCTTCTTCAGGTTAGCTTCTGTATTCTTTCAGTGGGTCCTTGTCAGTTTTTCTGAGCTCTTGCAGTGCTGCAAAGTGTTCTAAATTTATCTTGTATTTTTTCAGCCTCAACCATGAAATCTTGGTTCTTTTAGTTTTTATCCAGTCAAGATAGTGTTTTTCAGTTACTTATGTTGGTTCTTTTCTTCCTCATGCCCTTCAGTATGGTTTTTGTTAGTTGTAATACAATTGGTTATATTCCAATTTGTGTTCCCACTATATCCAAGTTGATTTTTAATTGTTTATTTTGGGATGTGAACCTTGACTTTGGTTATGAGAGTCAGGGCTATACACACAGGTGTACTTAAGAGAAGTGTCACTTTCTTCTTCTCTACCATGCTGTTGCCATTCTCCTCTACTTTTTTTTTTTAAGTCCCTTTCCACTTGTCCTGTATAGCTCACTTTAATATTTGGATTATCCTGAGTTTCTTTTGCACAAATGAGCAGATAGATGTTTTTTTCCCCTTATATCCTTCTCTTATATGAAAGGTGGCGTGTTGAAAAGAGTTTATTCACTGGGTTGTCTATTCTTTGGGAGGTAAGATTTTTGAGCTCCATGTGTATTCTGGTTATTAATCCCTTGTCAGATGTTTAGCTGGCAAAAGTTTTCCTCCCATTTTGTAGGCTGTCTATTCAGTCTAGTGATTGTTTCCTTTGCTGTACAGAAGCTTGTTAGTTTGATACAGTCTGATTTGTCAGTCCTTTTCTCTTAATTGCTGCTATTGGAGTTCTCTTCAGGAAGTTATTGCCTATGCCTATATGTTCCAGTGTTTTCCCTATTCTTTCCTGTAGCAGTTTCAAGTTTCAGGAGCTCTTTGATCCACTCTGAATTGATACTAGTACAGGGTCAGAGACAGTTTCAGTCTTGTACATGTGGATATTCAGCACCATTTGTTGAAGAGGCTGTCTTAAATGTGTGTTTTGGGTTCCTTTGTTGAAAATTAAATGGCCGTAGCTGCAAGGATTTATCTCTGCATCCTTTATTCTGTTCCATTGGTCTTCATGTCTGTTTTTGTGCCAGTACCATGCTGTTTTAATTGCAGTGGCTTTGTAGTATAGTTTGAAGTCAGATATTGTGATACCTCCATTGTTTCTCTTTTTGCTCAGGATTGCTTTGGCTGTTTGAGGTTTTGTGCTGCCATATGAACTTTAGGATTATTTTTCTGTCTCTGTGAAGAATGTCATTGGAATTTTGAAGAGAATTTCAATGACATCTATATGTCATTGAACATACAGATGGTTTTCGAGAGTATAGCCATTTTCACAGTGTCAATTCTGCTGATTCATGAGCATGGGAGATCTTTCTATATTCTGATGTCTTCTTTGATTTCTTTCTTCAGTGATTTATAGTTTTCATTGTAGAGGTCTTTCATTTTGTTAAATTTATGCTTAGGTATTTAATTTATTTTTGAGGCTATTGTGAATGGAATTGTTTTCTTGGTTTCTTTCTCAGTCTGTTTATTGTTGGTATATAGAAAAGTTACTGAGTTTGTATATCGATTTTGTGCCCTACTTTGCTGATACTGCTCATGATACCTAAGAGATTTTTGGTGGAGTTTTCAGGATCTTTTAGGTATAAGATCATATCATCTGCAAATAGAGATAATTTGATTTCTTCCTTCCCTATTTGAATCTCTCTTATTTCTTTCTCCTGTCTTAATTGCTCTGGCTAGGAATTCTAAACTACATTACATAAGAGTGAGGAGAGTGGACACCCTTGTCTTGTCCTGATCTTAGAAGAAATGATTTAAGTTTTTCCCCATTTAGTGTGATGTTGGCTATAGGTTTGTCATATATAGCCTTTATTATGTTGAGGTACAATCTTTCTATTCCTGGTTTCTTCAGAGCTTTTAACAAGAAAGGAGGTTGAATTTTGTCAAGGTTTTTTTTTTTTCCATCAATTAAAATGATTATGTGATTTTTATCCTTGATTCTGTTTATATGCTATATTGTATTTATTGATTTGTTTATGTTGAACCATCCTTGCATACTTGGGATTTCATCCTTGGGATGAAATCAACTTGATTATGGTGTATGATCTTTTTGATATATTGTTAGATTGGTTAGTATTTTGAGAATTTTTGCATCTATGTTCACTGAAGAGACTGGTCTATAATTCTCTTTTTATTATGTCTTTTTTTGTCTGGTTTTCAGATAAATTTTTTACTGGGTTTATTAGAATGAGTTTGGTAGTGTCCCTTTCCCTTTTCTATTTCATGGAAAAATTTGAAGAGTAATGGTATTCTTCTTTAAAAGGTTGGTAGATTTGTCAGTGAATCCATTAAGTCCTGGGCTCTTTGTTAGGAGACTCTTTATTATTGCTTCAATCTCATTACTTGTTATAGATTCTCTTGTTTCAATTTTGGTAGGTCAAATACATTGAGAAAGTTATCTCTTCTATTTTCTAGTTTATTTCAATATAGGTTTTCATAATATTCCCTCATGATCTTCTGGATTTCATTAGAGTTTGTTGTGATATTCCAGTTTTCATCTCTAATTTTATTAATTTGGTCTTTTCTCACCTCCTAGTCAGAATGGCCAAGAGTTTATCAATCTTACTTATTTT